ATACCATATCCTGGGCTGGAACCTCATCGCTAATTGCAAACACCATGTTCACGGTACTATACGGCCGACTGTCAGATATCTTTGGCCGGAAAATCATGTACATCTCCGCATTGGTCTTGCTGTGCATTGCAGACCTGCTCTGTGGATTGTCCCAGAACCCGGCTATGTTCTATGTTTTCCGAGGTTTGGCTGGTGTCGCCGGTGGTGGTGTTACCTCCCTGACCATGATTATTGTCTCCGATATCGTGACCTTGGAAAAGCGAGGCAAGTACCAGGGTATTCTGGGTGCATCTCTAGGTCTTGGTAATATCATTGGACCATTTCTAGGTGCTGCATTCACCATGCGTTCAACGTGGCGTGGTTTCTTTTGGTTGATTTCTCCATTGGCTGCTTGCTCTGCAGTCGTTGGATACTTCCTCATTCCGAATAATGCACGTAAAGATAGCTTCCGGGAGAATATTGGCCGCATTGACTGGTTCGGACTGCTTGCGTCGTCCATTGGTATCATCTTCCTCTTGATTCCTATCTCGGGAGGTGGATCCTATTTCCCCTGGGATTCACCGATGGTCATCAGTATGCTCGTTATCGGAGGCTGTTCACTCGTTGCATTTTTGCTCATTGAATGGAAGGTGGCTACACTTCCAATGCTACCAGGTATGTTCTGATCCCCCTAGTCGTAAAGAGACATTCAGTTGACATGAAACAGTGGTCTTCTTCAAAAATAAGGTCGTCTCCGCAATCTTCTTGCAGAGTTTTCTTTATGGTGCCGTTTACCAGGCAAGCCTTTACTATCTGCCATTGTACTACCAGAATGCTCGTGGCTGGTCGCCAATCGCCTCTGCGGCGATGACATGTCCTATGGTTGCGGCCCAGTCAATCTTCTCAATCACATCGGGATTGTACATCTCGCGAGTAAAGCGCTATGGAGAAATCATTTGGATTGGATTTGGATTGTGGACCTTGTACGTTGATCAATGCATAAGCCCTCTTACTTTGGTCCTATACTAATACTATCATTCTCGCAGGGGGTCGGGCCTTATGTTATTATTCGGTACCCACACCCATCCAGCCGTTATTGCAGTCATTGTGGCAGTCATGGGCGCCGGAATTGGCTTCACATTCCAGCCCACTCTCGTGGCCCTGCAAGCCCATTGCACCAAGTCCCAAAGAGCAGTTGTGATTGCAAACCGTAACTTCTTCCGCTGCATTGGTGGTTCATGTGGCCTCGCCATCTCTGCGGCAATTCTGCAGGCTACTCTTCGCTCCAATCTATCAACCAAGTTCGCATACCTGGCAGAGTCTTCATACTCGCTTCCTCCAAGAGCGAACCTCAGTGCAACTGAGTGGGCTTCAATCCTGCATTCTTACAGCAAGGCTTCACACGCAGTATTTACCCTGCAAGTCCCTCTCATCGGCATGTGCTTCCTGGCATGTATGTTTGTGCGTGACAGAGGTCTGGAGCGACCAAAGGAGCCAGAAGAAATTGAAGAGGAGAAGCGAAAAGCCGAAGAAGAAAGAGATGCCGAGGCGGCTACTTCTGAATACCCCGAGTCTGTCGATCATCAGACACACCACCAGGCTGAGAAGCGTCATTCTGTGTCGACACTCGCCGAATCATGGATGCCGCCTTCTCAGGTGGAACCTAATACCGAGGAACACAGAGAGAAGGAACAGCAACATCACTGAGCCATCTAAAGAGTTGAAAATGATGAAGGGCCGTTCGTTTTACTTTTGACCTGGCTAAATCTGCATTTGCATTTGCATTTGTTGCATGGGCGGCGTATGATACCAAAAGGGTAATATAGTTTACGATAGATTAATTTAGTATGAACATTACTTGGTGTTTTTGATTTTCCGAGCTATCGAGTCTATGTCAATATTGCTATCTGGTGGACTAGAAACTGTTCATCACTTTCCAAGCTCTGCTTTTATGGAGGGTTAGCTCCAGCTTCTGATTTCTCAGACCTTTGAAATATCTCTTTGATCACAAGTAGCCGAACTGCAGAAAACAATAAAACAGAAAACAATAAAGCAGAAAACAATAAAGCAGAAAACAATAAAGCAGAAAACAATAAAGCATAAGATTTAAATGTATATCCTAAATGCCTTGTAAACTATAGGCTGCGTTAGGGTTAATAGATGTCTTGTCTTGGCATTCCGGTCCAACCTCATCTCCGTCCTCTTTCAATCTCACCATGCAATGGCACTTCACCAGCGTCTTAATGTGTCAAATTGAGGTTTATATTCTCTAGAAAATTCGATATGTATGCGCTCGGGCAGAATTCCGAGTCATCAAGGCAGACAAGTCCCGCATCGCGAGATCATAACCCACGAAAACGTGGGAGGACCGCATGCACTCGCTGCAAGACACGGAAGCAGAAGGTGAGCTGGATCTAGTCAGTAGCATATTTACAAACATGTTAACTTACAGGTTTCTTTTAGTGCGACAATGAACATCCGACCTGTTCTAACTGCTTGAAGGCGGGGGTCCCGTGCGACAAGTCGAATGTCCGAGAGGACAAAGACCGCCAGAATGAGTAAGTTTCAAATGTATGAAGTAACCGGAAAGAAAACTAATTTGGATGTTAGTTACACACGTGGTTTAGAGGAGCGTGTACTGTTCCTTGAGCGTAAACTTGTTGAGTCTGATCGATCATCAGATCGGAATGCTGCTATAAATACGTCTTCGCTATTCTCCCCACAAGGTGGTCACACAACACCACGCACAAATACCTCGGGATTTGACAATAATCCCGTGGGAGAAATCGTGGGACTTCTTGCCCTGAGTGCTTCCGAGGCCCCTGCATACGTAGGATCCAGTTCTGGTCTTTCCCTCGCTGCCGATCTGGGCGAGATGGTCCAGACGAGTGTATGGAACCAATTCATCTCAAGGATGCAGCAGAAAACCAGTATCGCCGCCCATAATTCCCAGAACCAGGCAGGCCAAGTACACGGGCCCTCGGTGCAGCCCAGCGCTACTCAAGTTCGAGATCGGGCAACGAGGATGGAAGATCTCTTGCCGGCGAATATTGAACCTCCAACCGATGAGATGGGTGCAAGAATACTCGAAACATATTTCACCCGACTTCATTCTCGATATCCATTCCTTAATCGGAAACAAGTATGGCAGATCCATGCAGATCGATGGCGCTTGGCGAAGACCAAACGTGAGGACCTTACTCCGTCTGATCGGTTTGCTATCTTCAAACTCAACCTGGTCTATGCAATTGGTGCAACAATGCTTCGACTGAGTGAGAATTATGCATACACGACCCCCGAGGTAATCACGTCTCTAACCGTTAGATCGGCTAATGCTTACAACTTTTAGCGATTTTATACTGCCGCCTTACAGCATGTTCCCACAATGTGTGAAGCGCGATCCATTGATAATATCGAGGCCATGGTTCTTCTTGTCGTGTATCATCTTCGAACTGCATCTAGTCATGGCATGTGGTACATGATTGGACTTGCCATGCGTACTGCTATCGATCTAGGTCTTCACCGAAAGGCAAATGAGAGCAACATGGATCCATTTACCACTCAAATGCGACGAAGACTATTTTGGACTGTATACTACTTGGAGCGAGTGGTATCGATGTCCCTCGGTCGTCCGTTCAGTATATCCGATCGTCACATTGATCTTGACCTCCCACTAGAAGTGGACGATGACATTGAAGATCCCACACTACTCACAGCACCCCTAGACCCAAACAAGACAACAAGCTTGACATTCGCAATTTACCTCTTCAAACTCCGTCGCATCGACTCCCGCATCCAACATAAAATCTATCGCGCCGACCGCCCCCTATCTTCTCTCCGACCAAAAATGGACCCTCTATATCTTGAACTGGAACAGTGGAAAGAATCCGCCCTATTGCGATTCAGCGGTCCAGATCTCGACTACCCGATGTTGCACTTCAACCGAGCAGTCCGGCTACTAATTCAGCCATTCCTCCCCCTCCTCCCAATCACAGACCCATACTACCAAATCTGCATCCTGGCCGCAGGAAACATATGCCAATCCCACAAACGCCTGCACCAAACCCTAGAATACGGCCACTCCTTCCTAGCCGTACAAACGGTCTTCATGGCCGGAATCACCCTCCTCTACGCGCTATGGACACAGACAGACCAAGTCTGGTCCGTCCGCATGAGCAATGACATCCGTGCTTGCTCAACAGTCCTCTTCGTAATGGGCGAACGCGCAGCATGGGTCAAGAAATACCGCGACGCCTTCGAGCTGCTGGTCAACGCCGCCATGGAGAAACTTCAGGGCAATGAGACTGCCCGCAACGCCGGAATGGCAGAGCTGATGACAGCCCAGTATGGCGTTAATTGGAATTCTACCACTGCTCCTGGCATGTCTGGGAGTGATAAGTATCCCCCGGTTAACCCGACGGGACTAGCTCCTGATACTGTGGGTGCCACGCCGCAGCCGCAGGGTTGTCCGGATGATGATTCTGAGCATGCGGTTAGAATGGCGTTGCAGTTGGCGCCGTGGATTGATCAGGATGAGAGTGACCCTCTGTGGGTGCCGGACTTTGGGACTTTGGAGAATCTGTCTGGGACGTTCTGGAGCCATGATGATACGAGACTTTTCGATCCTATGTGATGTCCTTTTGGAGTGTTGATTGTACATACATGCGAGAGATGGAAAATGATACCCTTTGGTTATGAGATAATGACAGGTCGCATATTCCGAGGTTTACTCATCATGGGAGCTTTCCCATGGTTGTTTCGCGGTATTATTCAAAGGGGAAACCATAGGACTCGGTAAATGAGAGCCTCCCACCTTCCTCTCCGGATGAGGCAATTGTTGATTTCAACATAGGGCATGTTTTGATGGATTCAATATACCCGTGGAGCTCAGTCATGCTTGCTCGGTGTTGCATTGACTTTTTGGATATCAGGTCTTGCGATGCGAAGTAGTCGACTGGCATCAGTCTGGTCCGATGACCCATGCTGCATATTTTTATACAAGACTTCGCGTTTATGATATGTCAAGAGGGTATATCCGTGAACCAGCTTGCAAGATCAGGCAAATCAAATCTGCCAAGGAATCCAAATTCTTCCTGCCCAAAGCCCATCTCATCCCACGTTGTGAAAGGATTGATATCCAAGTTATTAGTTTCGTGACGGAGGTTGTGTTCATCTAATATCGGCTCGGTAGGCTGCGACGACAAATCGGGTCGGTTCAGTTGTTGATTGCCCCTTTGGTACAGCTGAGTGGAAACTAACGAAGCATCGCCAGGCCGACAAGTAGCTATACGAGAATTAGCCTATACCCAGTGAGTATCCATTACCAAACAACCAACCTGAGTAGTTTTGCATAATATGTTGGTGCGTCACTTGCAAGAACTGCAACGAGTTGCGGGCCGAGAGACTGAACATAGCCATAAAAGCTAAGATCTCTTCGCACTTGCGCCAACTCTCATCCACGATTTGTGAATCAACCTGCTCCCGGATAGAATGGCATGAGTATGACATTATCAGGATGAATCCTGCAGTCGATGTGTCTAGTACATGTTAGTTGATGAACATGGACAAACCAGCGGAGTTGATCACGAACAGAATCCATTGTACCACCAAGCATCAGTTACACTCGTTCGATATGTCTCGTGAACAAGTGAGACCAGGTTGATGGCCGCTGTGACGCAGGAGGCGGCACATTTTGAGTAGACCGAGGAGTATATTATATTTTTCTCGCTGGGTTGTATATCAGAGCGGCGTGATGACCCAGCTCGTTCACCGGAGCAAAGTTGAGTAAACATGGGGCGATACAACAGAAGGCGAAGGTGGATAAATCTATTGTTTCCCTTTTGGTTAGAAACTGTAACTCAAAGTCCCAAAGAGAGAAGCTACCTTGCACGCAACACATTTTGCTGACGCTTGAAGGTTGACGAATTACCACTGCTCGAGTGATGCATTGATGCTTCATCTGTCCAATTCAAGGGCTGGGGCACGCTAGTCTCATAAGCAGCAAGTTTATCGTCGAGTTCCATCAATACATCCAGGCTACAAAGCTTGGAGCTTTGCAACGAACTGGTGCGAGAGTTATTCGATCGACTCTGCCAAGCGTTATAGACCTCAGATAGAACAGACTCGAGAATTTTGTATAATTCAATGGTTGAAACGTAGAAAGTCATATATCCCAGTTTATGATCACAGGGTTGTCCACTAAGCTCACAAGGATCAGCTTCCTGGGAGTCCGTTCCCATTGCAGGCAGAGGTAACGGTGAGAGGTGAGAGGTCATGCTCGGTCTTCCATGTGTCATGCTCACAATTCTATTTTCATTAGTTAGCTGTGTCTTCCGAAAAGGATTTAAAAGACCGATTGTACTAACATGTCCATAATGACGCAGCTGTGCCAGGTGCGCCGTCGTATTTCTGTCTCCAGGGGTTTGTTCGAGGCATGTGTGGTTGTCTCGTGTAGCCCGAGTCCTTGACCAGCGCGACACGCCAGTCCAATTGCATTCCAGCACCGAATAGGGTAAGGGGTGCTTTGAAGAAGAAGTGAAACAATCAAAAGAGTTTGGACCACGCCGATGGTGCCTATGTCCAGGAGGTCAAGATTTACAAATCGCTTTGCCCGAAGGAAAAATGAATATACCGCGGCCTCCCGGTCCGCAGGCGGAATATCAGAAAAATGACAGCCAAGGGCAAATATGGCATTGAGTGCACAATGAAAGACAATCGAATTAGGACCGCAATCAAATGCGCCCCCGAGTCCGATATTGAGCTGTGGCAATTCGGGCTTGGATGCCTTGTCCGACCCCCAGAGATTCTCATACGCTTGCTCAAAACTGGGGCGATGGAAAAATGGGAATAGACAATGTACCCTGTCCCAGTAGCACCCAAGAAGGTGGTCTGCCAGAGATCGAGGGGGCAAGGAGAAGTCGTCGAACCGAAGATCTACCGATGGATGGCCTAGATCTCGCCAGATCCCCGTATCAGGGCCCTGGCATCTTGACGACTCATTCTTGCTATCTCGCAAAGCTGACATATACGACCGCAAAGGCATCGACTCTCCTGCAAGACGCATAAAAGAGGCCACTGAAGAGTTTCCATAGTATTGCTGCTCCTGTGGAGAGTCTGTGCTTGGGTCGTCTTCTGCGACAGATATTGCACCCATGGCGGTGACATTCCCGTGGGAGTTGAGAGACGGTGAAGGGTATATACTGCTTGCTTGTGGGTGAAAAGATTTAGGAGACAGATGTGCCGCATGTGGAGATCTATAACGCTCAGCTTCCGCTCGATTTCTCTGCGCGGGAAATCTTGGCGGTTGGAAAGCAGGTGTGGAGGACAGAGGACTTGGTCCAGATGGTACAGGAATGGAACCCAGTCCTAGTAATCCTTCTGCGGCAACTGATGTCCTGGATTCTGCGTCCAGGTGATCCAGATCCATAGCTTCACCTAAATGACTTTGACTTTCAGATGTCCTGTAGTCTGGATATTGTGACGGCCCAGGCGGCACAGCAACTCCCCCTTTGCACATATCTCTTCAAGCTCCCGAATTCGATTATGGAGAATCTTCAGGTATTCATCGTTGCTAGCAGACCTCGCATTATCCAGCTTGTATACACATTGGTCAACGGTATACGAGCGTCGAGCGCATGGACCACAAATTGGCTTTATACCATCGCATCTGACCTTCTTTTCTCGACATGACTCGCAGGCCAAGGCAATCTTGCGACGGCGTGGCTCTTTAGTAATTCCACCTTTAGGAGGCATCTGTTTGACCTTGATCCCATAGGCCCTAAGGGTATATGCGACCCACAGTGTTCCCTATTTGATTGGTGGTCCGGATGGTGACCGCAAGAAAGGGTGTATGCTGCAAGGGGAAAGGGAAAAGGAGTGGAACAATCCCGGGACTGTGTCCGGAATGTACCCGGACAGTCACGTGTCAATACATAAATCACGAAATTAGATCGAAGTAAAATATAGAAATGGAGAAGCGTGTTCCTGTTTTGTCTCAAGATCAAGACCAAACCCTGAATGCTATAATTAGGCTCCTTGGTCTAATTTATTTGGAACGACATCATAGGTGGAGCCCCGGGATGCACCCGGTGTGTTTTTACAGGAACTACCAGGAGAGGAATACTTTAGTTATCGCCATAAACCCGCGGCGTATTGCGGTGTAGGGGTGTACCATTAAAATACTACCTTTTACTCCGTATGTATTGAATTAAACGGGTTGTAGATCTATATTTTGAGGTGCGGATGTGCTGCGGATGCAGTTGCGGATCCGCACCGGGTGCATTCCGGAATTGACGTAGGGAACCCTGCCTTTAACAAGGCTGGCTTCAAATTATAGGATAAAGCTAAGGTTCCCCTTTATCCAAAGTCCAAACTTCAAACTCCGAAGTTCAAAGTCCAAAATCTAACATCAAGTGCTATTATCGTTGTTGGCTTTCCACACACAGGCCCGATATCAGATTATCAAAGCCAAGCTCACCACCTGGTCAACATTTAAAACCCAAAGTACAATCAAAGAAAGCAGCCTCACATTGATTGGTATCTCCCACAGCCCCAAATGGAGTACGACAATCAGACGCTTCAAAGGGGCCATAGTACCCCTTCACACTACTGTCCTTGGCAAGCCGACAAGCCTCAACAAATTTCCCGAGAACAATGGCCCACCGAAGAAGGTCTCCAATGGGGCTCAGATCCCAGCTTTTGCTATCACGGCTACTCTAGTCCCATCGGTACCTGGACAGAGGAGCGGCTGGTGCAGAATCTGATGCGAAATATGGCCAGTTTCTGTACTAGCATGAACATGGGCTTCGATATCCCTCAAATAATAGACGAGCCACCTCAGAAGCCTGTGCTGGAGGCCTCGCAACTGAATGGATTCACACTTCCCATGTTTCAGCCCTCAATGGTTCCACCAAACGAAAGACTCTCCGAAACGCCATCCTCGCCATCTTCATCCTCATCCTCATCGAGCCAAGGCCAAATGCTCTCTCCAGACGATGATGAATGCTCGCAACGGCCAAGCTGCATCAAAGCCAGGATCCAGGCTGGGCAAAAGAAGAGAAAATGTGTGCAAAAGCCAGGACAAAAATTGTGTCACTGCCGATCGGAAAAGAGGAGAAGAGAGCTTGTTGGAGACAAATATAAAGAACTCTCTCGCATTGTGCCAGGGCTGAAGGAACAATCATATACAAGGAAATACGTTCTCGAGGAGACTGCACTGTGGATACAAAGTTTGGCCCAGGGGAATGATGCCCTACATGAACAATTAAGGCAGTTGAAGGAGCAGGAAATTTTGAGTCAGTTGGATGAAGAAAAAGTAGGCTGCTAGTTCTAGCATTGGTTGTATCTCTAACATATCACAGTGGCATGTACAATACGCTGGCCTGGCGTTCAGGATATAAATGCAGGACCAACAGCAACCGCAAAAGGGATTTGGGTCTTGTCTGCTTTCAATCATATTACATTAAAGGCTATATATTAGAATTACTATTTACTCATAGAATCTTTGCCTCACACAATACACATGTACACATGTATACTCTTCTATTCTCGACCCAAAGAGTGATCACACCCAAACAAAACAAAACAAGTATTGATACAAACCAAAGGCCTCAATCTACCAAGGAGGCGCAATGGCCACAATCCCCTTCCCCAATCTCTGAATCTGCGCAGCATAATACGTCTACCAAACCAGTCAGCCAACCACTCAAACCACACAGAAAAAAAAAGAACTTACACTCTCAGCCCCAGCCCCAATAAGATGCAACGGCAAGAAGCGCGTATACCACGGAACAGGCGCCTTGTTCAACGGCATCTGCGCCTCATCATCACCAACGCTCTCATCGAGCAATAAACGCGGGAATTTCGGATCAATAGCCGCAGGCCGTCCAATACCAACAAGATCACAAGCATTATCCCTAATAGCAGCCTCAGCGCCAGCACGCGTGCGGAACCCACCAGTCAACATAAGAACGAGACCAGGATGGCGCTTTCGCACCTCCTTCGAGAACTCGAGGAAGAAGGCCTCGCGCGCGGCGGTGCGTGAGGATTTTGGTGCTGCCGCACTGGCTTTACCGTAGCCCATCATTTTGGGATCTTCGTAGGTGCCGCCGGAAATTTCCATGAAGTCGATTCCGGCTTCGGCTAGGAGTGCGATTTGTGTCATTGTTTCTTCGAAGGTTGTTGAGCTGTGGTCGGCAGAGTTTAGCTTGATGCCGATTGCGAAGGTTGCGGGAACGACTCTGCGCGTTTGGGAGAGGATTTCTAGGACAAAGCGGGCGCGTTTTTCAGGTGTGCCGCCGTAGGCGTCTCTCCGGAGGTTTGTCTAGGTTAGAGTTAGTAGTTGTGTTGATGATGGTGTGGCTGGAGGGATAGGGGAGCTAAGAGTGTCATACCTTTCCATTGAGGAATTGATCTAGCCAGACAAACCATTAGCACAAATACTATTGAGCCAGTCATTCCAAAAAAAAGAAAACATACCAATCAAATACCCATGCGCACCATGCAGCTCAATACCCGAAAACCCAGCATCCGCCATCAACCTCGCGGTATCAACAAACTGACGAATAACCCTCTCAATATCCTGAGTAGTCATCTCCTTGGGCTCAGACCAAACTAGACACGCAATCAGGCTCTGGAGGTAACTATCTCCAACCTTCATGGGCACAGCGCTAGGCGCGAGCGTCTGGGCGAGCATGCCGCGGTGACCTGCAACGCGGAAGGACTGTCGTCCTGGGTGGCAGATCTGGGAGATGGCTGGGGTGCCGTGCTTTTGGCAGGCGTCGGCGTATTTCTTCCATTGCGCGACTAGGGCGCTGTTGGTTTCGCTGTCTTTGTATTCGTCGTGTAGGGCTGGGTCGAAGGGGCTGCCCATGTGGTTTACGTCGACTTGGACGTTTCCTGGTGAGGTGTTAGGTTTGGTTGTGGTTCGGAATATGTTTTGATAGTGAAGGGTTGGATTAGAATCAGAGTTAGGGCTTTGAGGGTTGCATATGGTTTGAAGTTGGGCGCTTTTTTGGGTATATATGGGGAAAGGGCATGGATATAGAAATAGAGCTTAAGGGCTTCGCATTTGCCATAGAATCTTAAACTTAACATAGTAGCATTAGATCTTACCTGTAAGAATACTCCCCCATCCACCGTCGGACCATTGCTCATAAGCATCAACCAGGGTGTTTGTCGGCTGGTTAGTTTTGGCAATCATCTCAGCCATTGCGGCCTGAAAGGGTGTTAGTTCCATTTGTGTATAGCCATTAGGTATGAACAATGTATGTGATTTGTACCTTGCTCAGCCGATTCGGCAAAACCAGTCCACATGGGAGCTTGACGGGGTCTGCAAGGGGAGATGGCATGGCGTATGTGCAGATTTTGTATGTGAACAATATATACAGTGTAAAATATATCTAATGCAATTGTTATAGATATTAAAGTCCAATATAAACCGGAAATTTCGTTCCTTAGTCATCTCGCGGAGAGATTGGTCTCCCCGTCTTGTGTGGAGTCTCCCGAGGTCCATGAGGAAAAGTGGATTTGGGCAAGTCCGGGAGTTGTGTTCATCCGTTAGGGATATTATTGATGATTTGATCAACCTAGAAGGGAAGATGTTGCGAGCCCTGAAAATGGACATGTTCATAGTAACCCGTGGAGCTATATTGTACGGTAAAATGTAGGATAATAGTATAAAAGTTGATTTTGTTCATTGATATGGCAACAGCTAAATTTTAACTATCCCCAAGATGCAACCAAAATGCGAGCCAAAAACCAAAAATAAGTGCTGGGTATTCAATCAGGGAAAAAGAAGTTCGTGTCCAACCCGAAAATAGGCAGAGAAGGAAAAAAAGAGTGCGCTCGAAACCAAAGGGGGAAATATGAAAAGTCAAAAGTGACATGCGAGTCCATCACGCAGACATCCTAAGCGCTGACAGATTAGAACAAATGCTTTTTTTTTCTGCGAAATGCAGTATGCACAACCAAGCCGAAAAGAAAAAAAATCAAATCTTACAGCTTGGCATTCTTCTCCTCAGTCGGGGAACCACTCGCTGTGATAGGGGGCGAGATTGTTCCCAGACTGGAGAGGAGGTGACCGACCTCGCGCTCCAGAGCGCGGACCTCAGTGTGAGGGTCATACATGCGGGACTTGATCCAGTTGTCCAGCTCGATGTCGCTCATAGAGCGGAGGGCGATCTCGCGGTCAACCTTGTCCTCCTGGGCAGCGCGCATCACCTTGCGGGTGACGACGATGCTGACCTCGCGGATGCGGGTGATGTCGGGGTAGAGCAGACCACGCTCAAGCTCCTCGCCAGTGAGGGCAGTGGAGAGGGCATCGCCGGAGGCGTAGATCATGCTGTCTGTGACGCGGACGGCCTTGGACAGGATGCTGCCGAGGCCGATACCGGGGAACACGTACATGTTGTTGCCCTGGCCGGGGTAGTAGGTGCGGGTCTCACCGGCGGAGTTGGTGAAGGTGCAGTTGGGGAAGGGGGAGCCGGAGGCGAAGAGACAGCGGCCGTCAGTGTTGGTGACGGCGGTCTCGAAGTCACACTCGGACTTGGAGGAGGGGTTGGAGAGGGGGAAGATGAGAGGGGCGGTGTTCCAGTCAGCCATCTTGCGCAGGATCTCCGGGGTGAAGACGCCGCCCATGGTGGAGAGACCCATCAGGATGGAGGGCTTGACGTAGTCAACAACCTCTTCGAGAGTCTTGTACTGCTCGGCGTTGTTGTCACGGCGAGCGAAGTAGACCTTGTGGTCGGCGAGCTTGTCGCCGCGGTCAGCGGTGACAAGACCCTTGGTGTCGACGAGGTAGAAGCAGTTGCGGGCCTCATCCTCGGTCATGCCTTCGCGCATGAAGAACTCGACAATCTGGCGGGCGACGCCGACACCGGCGCTGCCGGCGCCGAAGAACACGGCACGGTGGTCCTTGCAGGGCAGACCGGAGCGCTTGACAGCGTTGATGACACCGCCAAGGATGACAGCGCCAGTACCCTGGATGTCGTCATTGAAGCAAGTGTAGTGATCCCGATACCGCTCAAGAGCAGGGAAGGGGTTCTTGAAATCCTCGAATTGGATGACAATACTAGAGAAGATTTGTTAGTCACGGTTACGATAGGTCCGAAAGACATGTGAGAATGAGTCACTTACCCAGGCCAGCGCTCGGTAAGAGCACCCATCAACTCGTCCAAGAACTCCCGCTCCTCCTCGGCGGAGATCTTCTCGCGGCGGCTACCCATGTACAGCGGGTCTTCCCGGAGGGCCTTGTTACCAGTACCGAGATCGAGAGTCAGAGGCAGGGTGGCCTCGGGACGAATGCCCGCACAGGCGGTGTAAAGCGCCAACTTTCCAATGGGAATACCCATACCGTTAATGCCCAGATCACCCAGCCCGAGGATGCGGGAGCCATCGGTGATACATGTGATCTCGACATTTTGCTCGGGCCAATTGGAGATGACCGAAGCGAGATTTCCGCGATCTTCCCAGCTCAGGTACATACCTAAAACGAGCGTTAGCGTCCCCGGTTCTAATTCGTGTGCGGAGATTCTGCCAATTGCGGAGAAAATAGGCAATTCGCTGTGGAGAAGATCTCAGTCATATTGGCACGTACCTTCGGGCTGTTGGTAGATCTCGGACCACCTTTGGCAGGCCTCGCCGACGACTGGGGTATAGATCAGGGGTGTCATTTCCTGCAGGGATTATTATGGTTAATTTTCGTCTCCCCAAGATTTCCCGGTCCAATCACATGTCTCGGCGCTCAACGTACCCTGAGGTGGTCTGTCACCAGACGATAGAACAGGTGCACATTGTTCTTGCGCAGAGTGCTGAGGTATAGGAATTTATCGATGGGGGTGTTCTTCAGACCGAGTTGCGCCAGGCATCGGGTCTTTTGTGTTTCGTATCCCTCGGCGCGAGGAGGAGTGAGGCCGTAGGTGCGCAGGTACTTGCGAATGTATGCAGGGTTGGCGGTGTCATAGTTGGCATCACTAAGAGAGAATTAGTTCCTCTCCATTGCCTAAGCTTGGTGAGCTCTAGGTTGACTTACGCAGGCGAGGCGTGGTTCACATGGGGAGCCGGGGTGGCGTGCACCGGCCGGCTTTGCTGAGTAGGTAGTGAAGGGTATCGAGCCATTGTGATAGAAGACTTGAAGTTTGGGGTAGAGGTAGAATGATAGAAAGAAAAAAAGGATCTGGGAGCAGATGCGAGTCTGTTTTTATGTACACGCGACAACATATTAAATTGCCCCTGGGATGTTCGTGCGCTCAAAGACATTCCGACAGGAGTTGACCAGATAATTAACCGGGACCGCGTGTCAAGGCGACACAGTATAGTAAAAAAAGAGTCATGATTTGGAGTCGGGAAGAGTCGGACTCTGGGGAGGGTCACGACCCATGTGGATTCATTTTCGGTGTTGACAGCGAACCGTTGTGCATGAAAGCCCTTCTGGAATCTGGATCCCTCCAAAAGCTTTTTTTAATTTTTTTTTTTTTTTTTTTTGTTCGGGAAGTAGATCCAGGTATCACTGTGTGGAGACGGGGAGGCGCCGACTCCGACAAATGCGGAGATACAATCAAATCAAATGTTGATGAAATTGAAAGGGTATCCCGAATGAGACATATAATTGCATGCGGGATTTAACTGCTCATTCCAACATTACGCAGGGAGCATACATCTGTACACTCGTACATATTGAATATTGGATGTCGAGGATGTGAGGGGATTGAAAATTGGAGTATCGGAGTTAGAAATCTCCAATTTACACGGTAGACTTGGAACTGGTGATGACAACTACCAAGTAGAATTGTGAATAATGAAATACTGTAACCTGATTGGCTATAAAAGCCGGGGAGGAAAACGCCATGAAGTATACACTAACCCTCTTTAGTCTATCAGCTCCATCCAAATCCACAGCTACGAGCTCCCAGAGCCGCAGATAGTGCCGAAGTGGAGTCAAGCTATACCCTAATTAATGTCTATTCGGTGTTTCATTTTTTTTCATTTTTCATTTTGATATTTTTGATATTTTTTAATTCGCACTTTAGCTTCTTCAAAAAGCCTTCTGGAATGAGCTTAGAAGGCAGGTTGTAAACTGGAGATCAGGCTACCGTACATAGAATATCATATGTTGTTATAGTACAATAGTACAATAGTATATGTATACAATAGGAAATCTTATCAGCGCCGAACGGAAGCTCCCCGGTGAGACTTTTGGGCCTTTGTTTCGAGTCCGCCGGGTTGGCGATGATATTCGGCCTTGTGAATGGCTCTCGGTCGCCGACAGCCCCGGGGATTTTTGATTACCTATGTTCTCCAGCACGGTTGCGTTATTTTTTTTTTTTCTTTTGCCCCTTCAATTCTTTGAATTGTCAGGTCTGGATTCAATATCCACTGAGCTTCGAAACAATTCGGGGGCACAATTCGGAATCTAGGGATTTGATCCATCAGCGATTGGTCCCTTGTCCGACCTCTGTGTAAGGCGGAAAGCTTCTATTAATAATTTCAATTCCTATGCTCTGCTCTACTGCGTACATATTTTAAATATCTCCGAACTCGTCAGGATATTTCCCACCTGCAGTTCCCAACGTTGGGACAGGCTTGGAAGGGCTTGGCCATTTCTCGCGTGGGTGCCCAGATGTAGAGTAGAATGTGAATGAGCTCATTCATGGATACGCGCACATTTGGATATGTCATTCTCCAATTACATGAGGCATATATGTACATTTTTAGTTTGCTTTTTGTCTCCTTTCCACTGCAGATCATGATTTCCCTGTAATTACTTTTGCAGAGATAAATCGATCAAAATAAACCCGATCTAATAATGCTATTGGAACTGCCATTGCGTAAGAGGCGAATGGCCCGGCTAAATAGCTTTCCCCAGATCGCGTCCCTGGGGATCTACTTCTTTACATAATAGCTTCACTTCAATTACTTTAGAGCTTCAACTTTGATTTGATTTTGTGATTAATGAAATATTCAAGAAACATTCTGGCTTTCAATTTTCTTAGCAAACATAGCAAGAACATTTACGTAGCACTGTAGTGATGTGTCGTCATGTGCCTAAAACAGGTTCCCGGGCCCAACTCCTCCCTACATACCGTAGAACATCAACCTTGAGCTTCGTCACCAACCACTATCTCACTCCAGGGCCTATTCAATATGCCCTCTGAGACAGAACCCCTCCTCCCTCGCTATGAGGATGACACCTCCCGTCAGCGACGGCTCCACCAAAAGCTACATAGCTACCAGATGATCCGCGCCATCTCCGAGGGATACATGCCAACAACTGAACAAACTATCGCCAACCTCCGTACCCTCCTAGCCTCCGATGTCCTCAACCTACGTAATCAAGATATCGGCAGCGTCGGTCGCCAGCTAGTGCGGGATAGTCGACTGTGGATCCAGGTCTTCATTGAATTTCTGCAACAGAAGAACAGCCAAGACCAACTCCAGGAGTTTCTGTGGCGCCTGGCCCGTTCGCGCGTCGAGGTGGACACCGAGAGGGTTTCAAGGCAGGCAGCCCACGTGAAGGCGCGGGCAGATACTAAAGCTGGTGGGTCGCGATTTCCCCCTCTACAACTGCCCACCTTCTGGGCTTGGCACATGCAAATCACAAAGTGATGATCGTTGGCTAACCCCTGCGCGTAGCATATGACAGTTTCCGCACTGTCGGTGGTCTGCTTCTGACTAATGCCGATTTCCGTCTTTTCGTCGATGACATCGTGACCGTTGGCCGCCAGATCTTCGCTGATACCGCTGAATCGCTCGCCGAATCTTCCAAGAAAGTTGCGGAACAAGTTCAACCGTCCGAGGAAGAAGAGCAGGCGCTACAGGGCGCTGGTGCCGATGAGGGGTATGAGCTATCAAAGGCCGAGGTGAAGGAGGAGGTTGCACATGTCGCGGGTGTGGCCGGCGAAGGGATCGCTCAGACGAGCCACGATGCTGTACAGAGCGCCAAGGAGCACCTGTCAGGCCGAGAAAGGGACACCTTGCTCTTCCGGTTGAAGCAGGCGGTTCAAAATCTCCGAGAGAGGACGGACTACTCTGACTCGGTGGCAACACTTGCCCAGTTGGTAGCGCGCTATGCTAAGATCTACGCCGATGTAGCAGAAAATACTGCCTCGGTTGCCCAAGAAGACATGGAAGTCAACGCTGACCTCAAGCGGGCGGTCGACGAATTCTGGAATCTCTTGCGGTCATTCGGTAGCGCAGAGGAGTGGGATCGGCTTCAGGAGAAGTTTCACAATGTCTTGCGCCATGCAAACAAAGATCCCGAGTTTGATAATCTCCTGGGAGAGGTCGGAACTTCGTTGCAGGACATGCTCATCAACCCCGAGTTCTTCGACTCGGCACCGCAGAAGCTCGATGAACTCAAACAACACTCTGATAAAGTAGGCTCGGAGACGAGCCTGCGAAAGGATGTCGACGATTTCCTAGCACAGACCAAACTCACACTAAGAACTGTGCCGGAAGACCCAGCCGTCTCCAAGTTAATCAATGCCACTAAGAAGGTCTATCAGGACGCTTGGGGTGCCTACAACGACAAGAAGGCCGACCTCCCAGCAGACTTGGTGAACGTCTTCCTCCCAGTGCTCCTCCGAACAATCCAATACATTCCATTCCCCCGCCTGGAGATCTCTGCTCCAGAAATGGACCTCCTCCTCGAGAACCTAATCCTTGAACCCGGCCACACAGTAAACTTCTCTTCCTTCCTTCCCTACCGCATGCATCTCCTCACGCGCAATGACATCGACGTGGTGAAAACCCACTCGAAACGCACAGAAACACTCATGAAAACAGCCTTCACAGTCACCGTCCAAGGTCTCAACATCAGCGCCGAAGACTTCGGCTACTGGTTCCGCACCCACACAGGCTTCTTCCACCTGAAGGATGAAGGCATAGGAAGCTTCTACCTAGACCGCCGCGGCATCGACATCTCCCTAGACATCGAAGTCGGCCGCGGCAGCCTGGAGCAGATTTTCTCTTTGCGCGGCGTCCGCGTGTGCATCCACAAACTCGACTACACAGTCAAGCGCAGCAAGTGGAGATTCCTCCTATGGCTGACTAAGCCATTCCTGAAACATCTCGTGCGGCGCGTATTGGAGAAGAAGATTGCAGAGGAGATTGTTGCTGCGGCGTTCGCGCTGAATCGCGAGCTAGTCTTTGCACGCGAACGGCTACGTGCTGCGCGCATCGCTAACCCGCAGGACCTGGCGACCTTTGTGCGGGCTGTCCTTGCGCGCCTTAAACCTGCTGACTCGGATGTCGAGACTAGGATTGGTCTTGAGCCGCTAGATCAGGGTGTCTTTAAGGGTGTTTATGCTCCTGGTAGTATTGTCAAGACCTGGCATGAGGAGGCCACACGTGCGCAGGAGGCTATTGAGGATGGAGATGAGACGCGTGGCCTTGGTCATACGTGGCATAATGATATCTTTAATGTTGCTGGGCGAAACTGATTGCATTATCTAATTTAGGAGTTGAGAGGAGTTGTTCTACTTAGCTATCAGCGTGCTTATGATTTTATCATGAATCCCAACATACCACCGGATGTCAGCCTGTACTCGATGGCTTTCCTTTTCTTTTAATTCTCACCTCTTATCACTTTTTGAGAATGATCTACCAAACCAGAAGCCATAATATAGCCCCATAACGCTGCACAGTAGCGACCGGCATCGCCCTCCCTGTCGGAAACATAGATGTTCTTTCAAACCCTAATCACATGACTCGCTATACCTTGGGTTGGGCGTAAAAGGTCTGTTTTGTATCTGACAGGGTTTCATACCCGACTTCTACCACTAGTAATCATACGAGTAAGAATACTACATGAGTCTATAATGTTCCATTCAAGCTGAGCACAAGCACTTTGTCCATAATTCTGTGCTTTGCATCTCGTTGATTCAATCTAAGAACATGCCTTTCTCGTTTCAATGAACCCCACCACGGCTTTTGATCTTATCGAGCGATGTTCACTCAGACCCAGCCCCAGGGCTGTTCATCTACATAGCAGCTTCAGCCTGGATCATGCTCATATACTCTTCACTAGATGTAGGATGCGGCGGAAATATGTCATCGCTGTCGGAAGCTGAGCCCCACACATCACGTCTTCTGGCTCTTCGTTCAGCCTGTTCAGCTCTCAGCCGGGCCCTTTCACGTCGTGCTCTGTCAGCCTCAGCACGCTCCTCGATTGCTCTCGTGAATCGCCGACAGACTTGGCATACAGATAACGGTGTCCCGTTTTCTGAGACGCCCTTTCTGAATTTGCGACACTCCAAGCAGATAACAGATGGTTCCCCCATGATGATGATGATGATATTACTGACGATCGATTAGTGCTTGGGTGTGGGTTGATACCACAGTCCACACACCACCGTTCCGTTGCTTTTCCTTTTCGCCATATTGTCCGCAATTTTTGTTCTGGGTCATAATCTAAGACAATCCTGACAAGCGTATAAGTCGTTCTGGCCACTGAAAGGAGTCACTTCCGTTTTGATCAACTCCAGGTGAGTAGGAGACGGTATTATTTCACGAAAGAGCCGACACGAACGTTGGAGCCAGATAAGACTGAACGCATCAAGATGACAGGCTTTGATGAGTAGTATCTCAGTTGGAATATCACATATAGTGGGGGTTTAAGACATTGTAACAGTGCTGACCCCGTTAGATAGTTCAAAGCAAATATGAGTCTTGAGTATTTGTGAGTTAGGTTAAAGAGTTGAGATCGAACGGGGTACTTTAGGCCAGCGACAAATATGTACATAGCTGTACAGTGCACTTGAGTCTTATAATTTACCAATCGCAGAACTCATCTTTAAATACTAATTTCGGGTTAGCATGTGATTAGGGTTTGAAATAGCTTCTATATGTTGTTCCATCATAGTGGTCGCTACTGTAGTGGTATACAACTCCAGTAAAATCCCCAGCCTTCCTATTACAATGAGACTATAGACATAGCTGCAGTAAATGCTCTCTTTAAAAAAGAAATCTCACTCCTTTTCCTCACATAGTTGCTACAACTTTTATAGAACGGGATCCCTCACTGGTTTCACCTGCACTTTTCACTACCTTGATCCCCGCACCCCGCAGAGCCTCAAAATCCATTCTAAGCTTATCCCATCTGCAGACCACACTTGATCCTCTTTAGAAATCGACATCAACACTATTATATCTGCATATCATGTCTGATCATATAGAGGTATAGCACTAGAGAACCACTCGTGGGCCTGATCATTATAAGCTCATCATATAGCAGGCCGCAATACAGCAAGTGGAAGATGATTCCACCGTTCAGATCCGTGTTGGAGGAATTGAATACTCCATCGACATAACGAAAATACCCTATTTTAATTCATTTCTCAGATTCCAACGGTCTTCCGGTCAAAATTCATCCCAGTTGCCCACACACGACGAGATACCTTTTTTCGATATAATCGACAAAGGAATCAAAATTGGCTTTCGTCAGTTCTTCCGCCTTATGCCGACCCGAATTAATGACTATCGTGTTCTTTGTGAGACACTCGAATTTCTCTGTATTGATGTCCTATCTGGACGCGGTATCAATTCGATCATGGGAGACCTCAGGAGTGGCAAGCACTATTGGAATGAGCATATCTTCAAAACCTGGGCACGAGACTCGGCTTTTCGACTTCTGTACCTCTTTCTTCTAGGTGACTTCGGGTCCGATGTCAAGGATAGCAATAGGGCATACAACGCAGCTCTATTTGTCGTCTCTCATTGCGGAATTTTCGAGCGCAGGACGAGAAAGATGGTCCGGGAGGCGTATGAGGAGCGGTTTGATGTATCAGCTAAACAGCTACGTGAGCTTGATAAGTGGGAATTCCACCCTCCTGCACCTGAATATTCAGAGGATGATTTGACTACCGAGTCGGAGGACCTGAGTTTTGATTTTGATTATGATTATTATTCGGATCGATCGTGAGTAGTTACGTGCGGTGTTCTAGCTGTGTACACCTCTACCTAGGCGTCTATGGTCTACTTCAAAGTTGGTAGTTTTCTGTATGCGAACTAGAATTGGTGATGTAAAAGTCTCTGGTATTTCAGCTATCTAGAATGTAATTTTTCCATGAACATAATCAATATAAACAAGACTTAGGTCAACCTCTCTTTGGCATACATCTCGATATATATCTATGGAATTGAACGACACAACAGACGATGTAGCCACACCAAGCTACAACACACGAATAAACATACTCGAAACAAATTATCCGATCGCAAACGTTAGTGCTGAATTAAAATAGAATCTTCTACTCTACACCACTCATTGTTTATTGCTTATCTCCCAAGTACATAGTGACCATACTTCCACGTGACCCGGCTGAACATTGTTCCTCTTTTAGGCCACCTAATGTAGATCTAGCACAATGAAGCCGCGGAGCCAACACCTCTAATCTCTAATTCTTTACTCTCTGGCATAAAGCTCGACGGAAGAGAACACCCATGCTACCAGCGATTGCATACTTTATGTCGAATAATTAAACATCACAACAAACCCACCAAAACCCTAGCTCGTCGAAGCTTCACCTATCAACATACCTCGGTCTACACAAACAAAAGCTCCACATCCCCTCCGAGCGCACGAGCAGCTGCTCGCGCAGCTCCCCACCGCCGAAATGCAGTTATTACGACTCCTAGTCACGATAGCTGTGGTGCTATTCTCCGTCGTTGTAATCGCCGCCGAAGATTACTACAAGGTGCTTGGTCTCGCGAAGTCAGCGTCGGAGAAGGACATAAAACGCGCATACAGAACACTAAGCAAGAAATACCACCCTGACAAGAACCCGTGAGTGCAACTGCTCTTCTCTTCTATTTATCCACTTCTTTTTCTACTGCTCCACACATGGTACACATACACACAGCGCAATTGCTAACCCAACTCTTAGCGGCGATGATACGGCCCGCGAGAAATTTGTCGAAATCGCAGACGCCTACGATGTGCTCTCGACCAGCACACTGCGCAAAGTGTACGACCAATACGGCCACGACGGGGTAGAGCAGCACCGCAAAGGCGAAGCAGCCGGCGGTAGTCACGACCCATTCGACCTCTTCTCGCGATTCTTCGGCGGGGGCGGACACTCCGGCCACGCGCCTGGACACCGTCGTGGACCAGACATGGAAGTGCGGGCGGCGCTGCCGCTACGGGATTTCTACAATGGACGCGAGATCAACTTCCTCGTTGAGAAGCAGCAGATTTGTGATTCGTGCGAGGGAACAGGATCCAAAGATCGACATGTTGTGACTTGTGATCGGTGCGGTGGACGTGGAATGGTTATTCAGAAACATATGCTTGCGCCGGGGATGTTCCAGCAGGTGCAGATGCAGTGTGAGAAGTGTCATGGACAGGGGAAGAAGATCAAGAATCCTTGTCCTGTTTGTGAGGGAAGTCGGGTTGTTAGGAATCAGGTTGAGACTAGTGCTACTATTGAGCCTGGGATGGGCAAGGGGACTAGGCTTGTGTTTGAGAATGAGGCTGATGAGAGTCCTGACTGGATTGCTGGAGATTTGATTGTTATTTTAGATGAGAAGGAGCCAGAGCTTGGGGAGTCTGAGGAGGAGAGGACGGATGGGACGTTCTTCCGGCGGAAGGGGAAGGATCTTTTCTGGAAGGAGACTCTTTCGCTGCGCGAGGCTTGGATGGGTGGCTGGAGTCGCAATCTTACGCATCTTGATGGACATGTTGTTCACCTTGGACGTGGACGTGGCGAGGTTGTGCAGCCGTTGGCTGTTGAGACTGTTGCCGGGGAGGGCATGCCACATTACTCCGAGGGTCATTTACATGATCACCACGATGAGAATGATGAGGCGGGAAATCTGCTTGTTGAGTATACTGTTATCCTGCCCGACCAAATGGAAAGCGGGATGGAAAAGGACTTCCATGCTCTTTGGGAGAAGTGGCGCAAGAAGATTGGAGTTGACTTGGCGAAGGATTCTGGGCGACCGGTTGCGCCTCCGCCGGCGGAGGATAAAGACGAGTTGTGATTACTTTTCCAAGCCTTGTTATTTTTGATTCCCTTTTTTTTCCATGGTCATTGTATATTGATTGCATCTGTTGATTTGCGTGCATTTTTAAGGCTCTGGATTAGATTAGACCCTTGGCTTGTATTGAGATGTTGAATATGATATACAATAGATGCCTGAATTCTACAAGCGGTCTTCCTCGGATAGAGGGTGTAGATATAGAATTGGAGTCCAATTGGTCCATCGGCAAACGGAAATGAACTTCCAAGGCCGTCGGCATACATGACTCAATATAAAGCCGGACCCCCTCTATAACTTATTCAATTGGCTCGACACATATGGACGACCGGGATACTGCTCGTGCCGCCCTCATACCAGATGCAGATCGACGATCTGTAGATCTGGAAGATCTGGCCGGGACGGAACTCGGTGTACCCGATGTACGGAGTAGGAAGCTCCAGATTCTGATTCTACCCGACACTGTTTGGTGGCGATGCATACCTCTCACATGATGGGTTTGTGGCGCAGGATGTAAACAAAGAAAGACGTACAGCGCATAGATCTAGCGCGATGATCTAACTGGAATAGGCCTGGAAGGGGCGAGTGTCTAGGACAGGGGTTGGAAGTTGTAGCCAATAAGCTTAGTTTACTTCCGACTACACCCATAATTCACTTCCTTGACCGGTATTTCAAGTTCATATTGTGCGATGTGTCTGATATAAATGTGTCGGGTGTTCGTTTGAAGGATCGGCTAGGATATCTGATGCCCTCTCCATGTGCAAACAAGTCTAGAAGCATCCACTTCGCGGGTGCGGGTATAGGCGCTAGTTGGATCATGTAGGATTAAGGGGCTCTTCCGGTTTATTCTAAGGGTTTGGTGTACTGTTGTTCATGGTGTGGGCTTCATTTCATACCCTGTATATTGTTGCTTTGTTGATATCTTCAGGTATTTAGATAAAGACATACGGAAAGACACATTGTTCACCGATACAATAGATCTCAGGTCCCTTGAATAGGAGTCCCTAGGAACATCCTAGTCCTTAGAAACACCCCAAACGGGGTGGGAATAAAGATTCGAATAAAGCGTCAATTTGTCAAGGTTTCACCGGTATATTTTTGCAGAGAGAGTTCAATTTTGATTCTGACTTGACAAGTCAACCATCCCAAAAATCAGACATCAATCTGGTTAACTAATATTCCAAGTTACAATATAGGCAAGGATATACATCAGAACTGCGCCACGAACTACTCAAGGATCTATAAACCTTGCAGATTAGACTAGGCTAGACGATGAAAAGTTCGTGCCATTAGATAGGGCTATTTTGGAAGACTTGCCGGCACGGCATCCCAAACCATAGTTCTAGCCTCCATCCTGATGCGTCCATATGTACCCCGTGTACCCCGTATGCCGGCTGTCGTACGTATGTGTATGCACCATGCACTATCAATGATTCTGGGAAACCCCACAATGGAAAGAAAGGCCAGCCAATGCATATCATCCACGTTGAGACTGCACCTAGATGCAGCTATAAACAGACTTTTGGGACAGGCTAAGGGTATGCGGGTCGGGGATCCAAGCGCGGGTTGTCTCCCGGAGGCTATCTGTTATAGTATCATGGTATAGAAATTGGGAAGGTATACGAAGGCATAGCCATTCGAAAAATTATTTGTCAATTGCGACTTAATATTTGATTCATGCACGTATCTCTGGGGCGTGTAGGCTGTACCTTGCATCAAAGAACATTACGGGGATTGCTTTGATAGCGGCATTTGTGGAGCTCTTTAGATCATTTAAACTATGTTCTCTACCCACGCTGGATGTTGGCTCTTTCCTTAATCGGCCATGCTCCGGGGTTCAGAGGATCAAACAGATAGATCAGCTATTGCGGGTTGCGGTGTGAGGTGGGTTTAATTTAATATTTGATTTATATGCTTCAACTGTTTAGGTTAATATTTTTTAGAATGTTTAAGGACATGTATTCACTAATAGGGTTGGGCTATAATCTTGAAGTCAAAATACATTGATTCATCTTATATTACTATTTTACCATACACTTTGAATAGACTATGTATAATGATTCTATATATATAAGCCCTATTAACCTTCGATCTTCTGCAGAAATATAACCCACGTTCACTTTCCAATAATATTCCACGGAAGTTTCTAGGGCAAACGAAAGTGCTCTATTAGCAAGGTAGCCAATCAGCGCAATAATATAACATATTAGCGCGAAAAAAAAGACCCGAGACCGAATTTGACAGCGATCGACAAACGTTGGGGTGCAGGTAAACGGCAATGCATCTCCCCGCAGGTCTCGGAATTGATGGCCTTTGCATCCGAGTTGGTATTTACGTATAGAGTTTTGATATATGTAGCTATCTACATCGGGATCTATATACACTCACTAGTATTCGAAACCCATGACATCCGAAAATTTTTGTCTTATGATTTGATTTGACAACGGGGGTCCAGAGGTCCACTCGGGAGATTATTGAATGAATACATCATAATTTTCAAATATAGGCAGTCTAGGTATAGGCCAATCAATGCCCATAGATTGTATAGATTAGCCGTTCATGGTTGAGATTATGGACCTATATACAGGAATAACAACCCTGTGAGCCCTTGATTATCTTAAGTATACCAAATAAACCAGCGAGCTGTTATCCACTTTTTTAATGAACGCAACCAAAATAGGAAGCTCGCGAAGATCAGTAGAAATGCTCGTGCCCACTGGCCAGACTTCCAATACCGCTTTCGGCGTTTTCGTCCAGTTTCCCTTAGCCTCACATTTAGTGGTATGGCTCCGCATCGAGGTTGATATATGAGGGGGTGCGCCGTAATGTTTGCTATCAAAATCATCTCATCTCGACCCTCAGTTGTCTTGTATCCTCGCTTTGTCTTCACTTTGATTCAATCCTTCCTTCCCCTCTTCAGACTATCTCCTTGATATCTCTTTGTACCTCTTTCTCCATCTATCTCCCATCCGATCTAGACCCAGATCTATTGGCATACCAACCCGTCACTTATTAGCATCAGAAGATGAATCCCCTCTCGTTGGAAACTGGCTTCAGCGATGGAGCCATACCTTCTGATGCTCTGGAACCCATCGCTATCGTTGGACTAGCCACCCGCTTTCCGCAGCAAGCAACAACCACCGAGAGCCTGTGGGAGCTTCTCCTGCAGGCCCGCTCGACATGGTCATCGATACCCAAAGAACGTTTCAACTCAGATGCCTTCTATCATCCAGACCCCGAGCATGGTGGAACAGTAAGTCATATCCGAGCCATGACAGACCAATATCGCCATGAAAGATCAATAGTTAACTGATATATATCTCTAGTTCCATGTCCAAGGAGGTCACTACCTCTCAGAAGACCCTGCCTACTTCGACGGTTCCTTCTTCAACATCACGAAGAATGAACTCTTGACACTGGATCCGCAGCAACGGCTGGTACTGGAAAATGTCTACCACGCCTTGGAAAATGCAGGGATTCCTTTGACCAGTGCTGTTGGCTCCAACACCTCTGTTTTTGTCAGTGGATTCAACCACGACTACCTGGGTATCCTCAATTCAGACCCAGAGACGACTTTAAAATACAAGCCTACAGGTGTCACCAATGCCATTTTGTCCAACCGCGTCAGCTGGTTCTTTGACTTCAAAGGACCTAGTATGACTATTGACACGGCTTGTTCCAGCAGCTTGGTGGCGCTGCATCTTGCTGTACAGAGCTTACGTGCCAAGGAGACGAGCATGGTACGTTTATTGGGTTGTCATTAATCTTCTCATGCTGATATACTGATAATGGTTAAGGCTGTCGTCAGTGGTGTGAGCATTCTTGAAAACCCCGTGGAAACCATTGGCATGAGCCACCATGGCTTGTTGGGACCCCAAGGGCGGTCTTTCAGCTTCGACTCTCGTGCCGAAGGATATGCACGAGGAGAAGGAGTGGGCACAGTTGTAGTGAAGCCTTTGAGTGCCGCTATCAGAGATGGAGATACAATTCGTGCGGTCATTCGGGAGACCGGAGTCAACCAGGATGGCCGGACGCCAGGAATCACGGTTCCTAGCGCAGATGCGCAAGAAAGATTAATCCGTGAGGTCTACTGGAGAGCCGGGCTGGACTTCGAACACACAAGATTTGTTGAAGCCCACGGCACGGGAACAAGCACCGGTGACCCAATCGAAGCGGGCGCTCTTGCGAGAGCATTCAAATGTCGTCGAGAAACTCCACTTTACGTCGGGGCGATCAAGTCTTCCATTGGGCATCTAGAAGGTGGCTCAGGTGTGGCAAGCATCATCAAATCTATCCTAACCCTTGAGTCGGGGGTCATACCCGCAAATTTTGATATGAAGGATACAAATCCTTCCATTCCCGCAGCGGACTTGGACATTGCGTTCCCTACTGAGGCTCTTCCATGGCCATCGCCAGGGCTGCGGAGAGTATCAGTCAATTCGTTTGGAATTGGTGGCACCAATGCCCACTGCATTCTTGATGATGCTTACCACTATCTCAATGACCGCCGCCTTACAGGTACCCACTGCACCACATCTACTGTTCCCACAACCCAGAAAATTAAGAGCCGGCTCTTAGCACTATCCAGATCGGGAACAGAATCAACTCATCTCGTGACGGATTCATTCGATGACAGCGATCAATCTGGGCACCGGCATACCTTTATGGATACGCCCACAAGCGATGGCTTTTGTGCATCACCCACATTCACATCCTCAACATACACCAGCCTGGTCGAGAAGCCAAAGATGTTCTTGATCTCGGCTTTCGACGAAGATGGCGTCAAGCGGAATGCAGCTGAATTTGCAAAGTACTTGAACTGGAGGTTGATGCAGTCGGTTCTACATGAACATATCCTTGATGATCTCTCTTTCACCCTATCGAAGAAACGGTCCCAGTTTCCCTGGAGGAGTTTTGTCATGGCATCCTCGGTCAAAGAACTTGCATGGAACTTGTCGGAATCAAATTTCGTCAAGCCAACCAGAACCGCCAGAGTGCCAGAGGTTGGATTTGTTTTCACTGGCCAGGGAGCTCAATACCAGGCCATGGGCCGAGAGCTCATGGTTTACCCCGTTTTCCAAGAGTCTGTGGAGGAAGCATCGGACTATATCCGTCGGCTCGGTAGCCCGTGGTCACTACTTGGTAATAGTTTACCTGTTCTGTTTGAATGTGCTCGACTAACGTATTACAGATGAACTCTTGACTGAAAGACAGTCACCCCGAGTCAACTTACCCGAGATCGCTCATCCACTGTGCACAGTCTTGCAAATTGCGCTCGTGGATCTCTTGGCTAGTTGGGAGATCTTCCCAAAACATGTAACGGGCCACTCATCCGGCGAGATAGCCGCCGCTTACTGCTCTGGCAAACTGTCTCGCGAAGGTGCCTGGAAGGTTGCATATTACCGTGGATACGTATCATCAAAGCAACTTTCCGCAAATGGAGCGATGATGGCTGTGGGCCTCGGTGCATCTCAACTGCAGCCCTACCTAGACTCTACGAGGAAAGACAATACCGGGGAACTCATCATCGCCTGCCACAACAGTCCCAAGAACAACACCGTGTCTGGAGACGACGCTATGATTGACTGCCTCAAGACTCTTCTCGATGCCGATGACATCTTTGCTCGAAAGTTGAACGTCAAGAATGCTTATCACTCGGCCCACATGCATGCGATTGCCCAGGATTACCTTCATCTGATGGGAACGCTTCCTTATGGAAGGTGGTTCGCAGCTCCACACCCGGTGCATATGTTTTCCACTGTAACGGGACAACAAGTCAAAGAGGAACATCTGCCAGCTCAATATTGGGTGGATAATATGGTTTCTCCTGTTCTTTTCACAAGCGGTTTGGTTGCAATGACCTCAAACCCAATGTCCAGCAATGGTTCCACCGATTCCACGGATTCTTTGCGGGTTCTTGTGGAAATAGGACCTCATTCAACCCTGCAGAGCGCCATAAAAGAGACACTGGCCTCTAAGAGCCCCAAGTTGGAATTCAAATATCTGGCCGTTCTCAAACGGACAGATCATAGCCTCAACACTCTACTTACTACAGTCGGCTTTTTAGCATCAAGTGGATGTGAATTGGATTTCCATGCTGTGAACCAAGCTTCGCACTCTAAGACAAGAAGGCAGCCCAGATTGTTGGTGAACCTGCCGCCATACAGCTTCAAGCATACCGAGAAGATTCTGTTTGAGAGTCGACTGAGCAGGAATCTTCGAACTCGAAAGTTCCCTCGTCATGACCTTTTTGGTGCACCGATCACGGATTGGAATCCTACTGCTCCTAGATGGAGACATTTTGTCCGATTGAACGAGAACCCCTGGCTAAGAGATCATATGGTAAGTTCAAATTTGTTGGAAAGATAGCTTCTTTTATTAACATGATTTAGGTCACTGGCAACTACGTCTATCCCGGCGTGGGTTACCTGATTATGGCAATTGAAGCATCAAGGCAGTTGGCTGGCGAGGCAAAGATCACTGGGTTCCAACTACGAAAAGTCAACATCCGACGAGCCTTGATTGTACCCGATAACAAAGAGGGGATTGAAGTCTCCCTGGCAATGGCAACTGTCGAAGACTCCTCGACGCCATCGCGAATGTGGCGGCGGTTCCAGATAACTTCCTACAATGCATCGAGCGATGAGTGGACAGAACACTGCACTGGTCACATCACCGTCAACCACGAAACAGCTTCTGACCCAGTGGACAATGGACGAGAAGTAGAAGAAGAAAGTCGAGCACGGGAATCAGAACTTGCCCGCGCAAATAAGACATGCACCAAATCCATGGCCTTCAAATCCACATACAACAACCTCCAAACATCCGGCCTCAATTTCGGTCCTTTGTTCCGAAACCTCGCAGACGTTCGCGCAAGCGGGCGTGGGCTTGGTAAAGTTGTTGGATCGGTGACGGTCCCGGACATTGCACAGTCTATGCCAAAACAGTATCTACATTCTCATCTCATCCACCCTGCCACAATGGATAGCATGATCCACTTGATGATTGCGGCTGTTCTCGACTTTACCAGCAAGTCCACCCTGGATCAGATCAGATTGCCAACTTTTATACGCGATGTCTGGGTTTCAGCAGATCTGAATTCAGCCCCAAGCCACACATTCACAGGACATGCAACCGTGTCTATGGTGGGATCTGATAAATTCGAGGGCCAAATCCAAATGCTCGATGAGGGAACAAATACACACCGCATCCGCATGGACGGCATTGAACTCACTCCATTGGAGTCTGGTCTTGCTGAAAGTAGTGAGCGAAAACTGTGCAGCGCGATTGAATACAAGCCCGACCTCCACTTCCTCGATTCAAAATCTGCCTGTGCACTGACATCTCTTGATGCTACCGATGACACCGAGGCTCTGTATTGGGTGAAGCGTCTTCAACTTGCAACGATGCTCTATGTCATGGATGCACTGGACGAGCTCAAGGACATTGATGTTATGAGACTCGATCCGCACATGCGAAGATTCTTTGACTGGATGGAGCATATGCAAGGCATGCTCAAGCGAAATGAAATAATCCATCTGCCCTACAGCGGATTCCGGGAAGTTTCTCAGGACGAGGCTTTCAAGGAAGCCATTGGCAATGAAATCGAGGCCCACAGCGCTGAAGGTGCCATCACAGCCCGAATGGGCCGCAATATTGCCCAGGTTATGCGCCAGGAGACTGATCCGCTGGATCTCATGTTCGGCCAGGACGCCGTGATGGAGCAGGTGTACAAGGAAGGCCTCCACTTGTATAATCTACCGCAGCATCTACAAAGCCACCTGTCTCTCCTCCGCCACCAGCATTCCAAGCTGAATATTCTCGAGATCGGCGGTGGCACTGGCAGCTTCACTGCTGAAGTCCTTGCTGTCCTTTCGCCAGACCTTACGAAGAGCAAAGGAAGCATCGCTAGCTACACATTCACGGATATCTCATCCGGCTTCTTCGAGAAAGCCAAGCAACGTTTCCAATCATGGTCCGATATCATGAACTTCCAATCTCTCAACATCGAACGAAGCCCCGTCGATCAGGGACTTCAGCTGGGGACATACGACCTGATATTTGCTGGCAATGTCATCCACGCTACTGCAAACCTGCAGAATGCATTGCAGAACCTGCGATCTCTATTGAAACCAGGTGGTCAACTCATCATGCAGGAAGGTATCCGACAGGATTTCCTTTGGTATCCACTTGTTTTTGGTCAGCTTCCCGGGTGGTGGCTGGGCGATGAGCCGTGTCGGCAGTGGTGTCCATACATCCCGGCCGAGGAATGGAATCCTCTGCTACTGAAAGCGGGATTCTCAGGCATCGATATTGAGTATCCCAGTTCCAATGATCCAGACCTGACGTGGCAGAGTATTCTGGTTTCTTCTGCTGTGGTAACACCCAAGGAGAAGGCATTTCATACTGCGGTTATCTTGACTCTCGACACATTGAAAGCCAGCCAGATCATTGAGAAACTCCGAGGAATTCTGTCGAAACTGGGATACACAAATGTGCTCGTTAGAAAGCCTACAAAAGTGAAAAGTTCCATCTTGTTGGATGCACTTTGCATCTCATTAATTGACTTGGAGTCTGCTTACTTGTTCGATATGAACGAATCGGAATATAGCAGACTCAAGAAAATGCTCAACAAGTGCCAGAACCTACTGTGGGTGACCTGCGATCCCCTCACACAGCCACGCGCAAGTATGAGCCTCGGTCTTCTCCGGACAGTGCGCTGGGAGCGGGATGGCGATGGCTCAAATATCGTCACCCTGACAGAGGCGGAGCAAGACCCAGACACCGCTTCACCAGTGAGTCTTGCTACAGCTATTGGCAGGGTTGTCAAGCGGCAATTTGTGGACAATCCGGAGAATGATCGCCACGCCGAGTACATGTTGCAGAACGGTGTCATACACATTGGCCGATTGAACGAGTGGGAGGCTGCGAATCAGTTCCTTGCTGCACAGTCCTCTCAGCAAGCTCCTCAGATTCAACGTCTCGGTGATTATGATACTCCTATTGTGTTACAAGAGGCTGCTCTTAGCACCGGGGAATACCACTGGGTCATACAGCAGGATGAAGCGTATCAAGGTACTGAAGTCGAGATTGAGATCCGAGCAATTGGTCTCTCTTCAGATGTTTCCGCCGGCCGTCTCGCGAATGAGATCGCTGGTGTTGTGAGCAAGGTTGGGCCAGATGTTGAGGGCTCAGCCCTGGGTGATAGAGTCATCTACATCTCAGGCGACAAAAAGGGTGGTTGCATCAGAACACATGGTCGAGTCGATCAACTGCAGCTCGTTCGAATTCCCGATGAGATCTCGTTCGAAGTCGCAGCCGGTTTGGCTTGGGCATATGCGACAGCAATTCAAGGACTTAAAGAGATAGCTCATCTAGCACCCGGAAACACTGTCTTGATCCATACCAGTGCATCGGATATTAGCCAAGCGGCTATTCAATATGCCCAAATGATTGGAGCTACAGTCTATGCTACTGTGGCAACGGTTGAAGGACGTGATTTGCTTGTCTCTGACTATAGTATCTCCCTAGACCATATCTTCTCTAGGAGAGATCTGAGCTTCGTCAAGGGTATCATGCGATGCACAAACAATTTTGGAGTTGACGTCGTCTTCAACGCACTGAGCAGCGAGGCACTCCGGGGTTCAATGGCTTGTCTTGCTCCCTTTGGGACATTTGTTGATGTGTCAAATCAAGATCTGCGAGCCGACACGACAGTCGAGCTGGCCTCTTTGCCTCGCAATGTGAGCGTTCACACCGTTGACATTCCTTTGCTGGCTCAACATCGACCAGAATCGGTCCGAGTTCTGCTCACCGAGGCACTGAGATTGTACTCTGAAGGCAAGATCGGTCAACTCCCAACAACAACTGTCATGGATTTCACGCAGATCAAAGAAGGTGTTCGAGCTGCGCAGAGTGGAGAAGCAGCAAAGGTTGTGATTGCACCTAATCCGTCCAACATGGTCCCTGTGATACCACCACCAATCTGGCCATGTCACTTTGACCCACGCGCATCGTACGTTCTTGCTGGTGGCTACGGTGGCTTGGGCCGCAGTTTGGCACGATGGATGGCATCTCGGGGTGCAACGAGCCTGATTATCCTATCTCGCTCATCGGCTTCGAGCCCAGAGAAGACGGAATTGATTTCCGATCTCGACAAACTGGGTTGCAAGGTCCACTCGCTGGTCTGCGATGTGGCTGATGTCTCTAGCCTCCAACAATTGCCTGGGGAGGCCTTTTCGCATCTACCTGCTATCAAAGGATGCATTCAGGGATCTATGGTCCTACGTGTAAGTCCCCACGCCTTGTATTATTAGATATACAATAGCTAACATATTCCCAGGACGGCGCCTTCGCCGGACTCTCCTTCAACGACTGGCAAGCAGCCATCAGACCTAAAGTCCAAGGTTCCTGGAACCTGCACACAGTCCTCCCCGACAACATGGACTTCTTCATCATGCTCTCCTCGGTCGCAGGCATCTTTGGCAACCGGGGACAATCAAACTACGCCGCAGGAAATACCTTCCAAGACGCACTCGCCGCATACCGCGTTTCAAAAGGCATGAAGGCAGCGAGCATCAATCTGGGCAGTGTATCCAACGTCGGGTGGGTCGCCGAGAACCGGAGCTCGATGCGCACGCACACAGCAACGTTATTCGAGCTTCTCCGCGAAGAAGAAGTACACGCAACAGTTGACTTCCTCATCCGCGACCAGCAAGACGGTGGTAATGCATCGGCGCGCTCACAGCTCGTCCTCGGTCTACCGACCGCGGAGATGTGTCGCCAGAACGGTGTGCCGCTGCCTACCTACCTGAATTACTCGATGTTCACGCACTTCCGAAATACAGCGACCGCGAAGAACAGTGAGGTCTCGCAGCAGAGGACTGTTAGCACTGCTGCGCTTTTGTCGGCGGCTTCGGGCATCGAAAGTGCTGTTTCTGTTGTGTCGGATGGAATTGTTGAGAGACTAGCTTCTCTGCTTTCTATTCCTTGTTCGGAACTTGATGCTCAGCGCTTCGGCTTTGGGGGTATTGATTCCCTTGTTGCTATGGAGTTCCGGGCGTGGATTGTTAAGGAGCTTAAGGCCGAGGTTTCTTTGCTTGATATTATGGGGGCGGAGAATATTAAGGCTTTGAGTGAGAAGATTGCTGGCAGGAGTCGGTTGATTGGAGGGCCTGGTTCTTGATCTTCCCGATATTCCAGCGCTTTTTTTTGCGATTTTCTTGGGGTTTGGTTTTGATATTGTTTGCGTTGGGCTCTCATGATTTATTAGTCTCACGTCTAACGTCCCATTACGATATATGATTATGCGGCGTCTTCTTTTCTTAGGGCATTTTCTAGGCTCTTTCATATGCACACGAGACTAGATTCGGTGATTACCAGAATGCATACGGATTTTCTACATATCTTACATCCAGGAAGATTTAAGCTTCGGTAAATTAGATACTCCAAATGTATTCATTCAAGTCGTTGAGAATAGAAAAACATCCATTCGGACAGATTAAAAGTAGCAAAATGGTATGCTTGCATTAAAAAATAGCTCATCCAAACCCTTGATCTCCATTCGTTACTCATAATATTCATCAACGTCTACCGTGCAGGCCCGGAGGGAAAATAGCCCCGTAAGCCCTGACCAGCAATTCCACAAACCGCCAACTTTGGTTCAGCCCCCGACCGCTCATGGTGCCACGCACGCTCGCGCAGGGCTAAGTAAACTGAGCGGAACGGCTGGAGGTCACCAGGCATCCGAGCAGGAGGTTTACGAGGATCGAAGCCCAACTGCTGGAGTTGCGCCTCACACCAATGCAGGGTATCTGGGGGTAGATATTCCTCTATGTCGTAGTCGACGTGATTTTGTTGCAAGACCTGTAGCGTTGGGACGTCGGCTGGGAGGCCAAAGTTCTCTACGCCCTTGGGTGGGTGGTGGTAGTTCATATAGGGTTTTCCAGGGGTGCGCTCTGGGTGGTCTGTTTGTTTGCGGATGTTGTGCATGTTCCAAGTTTGGACATAGGATTTTATGTGGGAGCGGAGGGTGGGCATGTAGATTGCGAAAAGGGCGACTTGTTCGGGGATTACCGTTGATGAGAAGAGGCCTTCGTTGTGAAGTCCGCGGAAATAATTCTGGTTGAGATTAGTATGCTGCGATTAAATGTGGGAGGAACCTTTGAAAGCTCAAGGTTGACTAACATGGTATAGTGTTACTACTGATTTCGCAAGCTGGGCCCACCAAGATTCAATCCGGTGGGTGTCTGCAGCTCGTCCAGGTGCACAGCACTGCTCACGCTGGAGATCCGGCTCAGTGGCGCGGCGGAGTGCAAAGTGAGCATCAGCTAGAAGAGGAACCTCAGACTCAAGGTCAGATCGAAGAGTGCGTGGCTGGCGGTTTTTAGAAGCAACAGTTTCAAGATGATTTTTGAGAACGCCCACAGCCGTGTGTGCATCCACGCCGACGTGGATCCAGAGAACATATCGAGAGTACGCATCTAGCTCGGCATGAATTCGAAACCCAAAATTGGCTAGCTTTGAGTACCCATTCACGTGCCAAGTCAGGTTAGGCCCGGCTAGAATCTTTGGCGGGGGAGGACGCCGGGGCACATCGCTGGTGCGGCGTTCTACTGTATCCGGGCGCAGCATGCGGTAGACACTGTAGAGACGATCTCGGGCAAAGACGTGCCCCTTGCTTCGGAAGTGGTTGTGCAGTAGTTCCTTTCCGTATCCCTCAATGGTCCCCTTGTCCATTTCCTCGGTCAGGGCGTCGAGGATCTCCTGGACCTGTGCTTGTTGTTGTGTGGGCGAGTCAAGACGGAGGCGGATGCCGAGCTGGTGACGGAGTCTGCGGAGCGTACGGTGGGAGACATCATAGCCCTCATCGTGTAGAACGGTGACGATCTCTTGGTCGGTCAGACCCACGTCGAAGAAAAGGTTTTTGATGCGAGCATGCAGCGCTTCATTTGAGGAATTGTTTTCCATCTTTTTCTTGACGCCCCATAGCTGTAGGCGTTTGGTCAGAGTACGCGACGAGATCTGAATATCATGTTGCCGCTTCAGGTGCTTGCAAATGTCGTCACTCTTCATTTTCTTTTCGTACAAGCCGATAATTTCGGTCTTGTACGGCTCGAGGTCCACCCGAGGGCGCCCAGTCACTTTACTTGGCGTATTAGCTGTATTCTCCATGTTGCGAATTCAGACCAGCCAATGTTGATAAGAACTAGCCGTGGAGAGATGTTAGCGGCTGGGGAAAGGCGGGCGGTGTGTCGAGACGTGCCCGCAGAAATCGACCGCCTTGATTTTTTTGTTATCGCAGCGACTCTTCTCGAGAAACGTCCTCGCTCTGCTCAGTCACTCTCGATCTTTTTTTCGGTTTAATATCACCCAACCGGAACAACCGCCACAATGGTCCGTGAACTCAAGCACCACGAGAAGAAGTACGTCCGCACCTATAATTCCGCCCGCAGAAATCTCAATCCGATCACCCAACATCTTCAAAGCTTCACGATGCATCAAAGATCAATTGCTAATATCGAACCCCCTACAGGCTCCTCCGGAAGGTCGACTTCCACAACTACAAGTCGGACGGCAACCACCGCGAACATGAAATCCGCCAACGATACCTCCTCCAAGACCCAATGGACTACCGCAAATACAACGCGCTCTGCGGTTCTCTGCGCCAGCTCGCACACAAGCTCTCCCAATTGGACCCCGATGCGGATCCGCTGCGCAAGAAGCTCGAATCCGAGCTGCTGGAGAAGCTGTGGCGCATGGGAATCCTGAAGCAGTCCCGCGAGCAGGGTGCCGGTCTGTCCAAGGTCGAGCGCGAGGTTACAGTTTCTGCGCTGTGCCGTCGCCGATTGGCTGTCTTCATGGTGCGCTCTGGCATGGTTGAGACTATTAAGGCTGTAAGTTGCGACCTGGCTTGGGGATGGATGTATGTAATGGAATGCTGACGTTTTTTTTTTTTGCTAGGCTACTACCTTCATTGAGCAGGGCCATGTCCGTGTTGGTACAGAGGTCGTCAACGATCCTGCTTTCTTGGTTACTCGTAACATGGAGGACTTCGTCACCTGGGTTGATTCCAGTAAGATCAAGCGCAACATCCTGCGTTACCGCGAGAAGCTGGATGACTTTGATCTTCTGTGATCGAGTCCGTTAAAAAAAAGCATTTTGGGTTTTTGTTCTGATATACCCGGCGCTTGTGCATTGTGGCCTATTTTGGTTTGGCGTATTGATGTTTCATGAAATGATATCTCATGTCCAAGATTCTCTGGATAACTCAATATGGATATAAATACTACCTATGTTCTCCAGAAACTTAGAGAGTAGAGCACCCGATGTACACTTTTAAACTTGGGGCTCTGTCTACTAAAGCTCGGCTTCTCAGCTTCTAAGGGCAGGACTGTTTGCCTGACATTGAAGGCCATGGCTCCACACCGCTTTCGCAGGGTTGCCCTATGCTATGCATATGCCAAAACTCGTCTTTCTGCTCTCGCTTTTGCTATTGATCATAATATCCACATGTAGGAATGATGCCTGACTTGGAGAATGACAAATGGATACTTTCTCGCTTCCAAGACGGACTGTTGCTAGATAGCAGCCAACATTCATTCAAGTCGAAACGGACCTCGGGAGGCAGGAATGCAAGTCTACCAATGAGGTTATCATCTTTGAAGATACCTCTTTCAAACATCCGAATGACCTAGTAAAACGACTGAATGATTCAATTTATTAAAGTTTGCAGTTAAATGCTGATCGGTCATGTGTACCTCACTAGCGAATAGGCATCAAGCTGTATAAACCGGCATTTGGGGCAAATGACTGTCGGGACTCAATTAGAGTGGTAGTTCCTGGTTGGTTTGCCCCTCCGATCGTCCTGGAGGGGTTGAAGATCTTGAGTACTAAGCGACTATTTTCGAAAAATTTATGTCTACTCTATCTCGGTAGCTGCGTAAAAGTGTATAGAGATCAGTTGATTATGCCAGAAGACAGCATCACTAGAGCCAAAATATGTACCATACGAGGCTATGTACAGTGTTCCAATAATAATAATAAGGGTATCTCAGTCAAAAAAAAAAAAAAAAAAAAAGACAGCAATGCAACAAATGCAAAAGGGACTAGAGATAAGAATAGGCCAGAGGGTGATGTTCCCGCCAAGAAGGGACATGTGGAATGGGACCACTGGATGCAAATGCAGATCATCACTCGGGGATCATGGTATCATAGGGAAAGCAGTGAGGCAGTGTAGTTTTGCGAGCAGCACCTGTGCTAGGCTCTGTGGGTGAGGTGATAGTGATAAATGTTGAGACTCGAAATCGGAACCAAGAATTCAGGCATTAGGAAGAGGAGAAGACTTCGAACGCAGACACACCCAACGTTTGCGAGTGCTACCAGGTGGGTTTGAATTCGAGTTGGAAGTTGTGACCTTGCCCAGAAAATCCAAGAGCTGGACCTGCGGCTTTCCTTGAGAGGAATCTGGCTTTTCGTCTTCGGGGAGATCCATGCGGAACCGACGCACGCTGCCTTCGCGCTCAGACTTGCCTTCTTCGAAGAAAGGGGTGCGAGAGTCGCGGGTTTGGAAACAGCGAGGCGCAACGCGGCGCCAGAGTCCGCGGACACCACTGCTTGCCCGGTCGATCTTCTCGTACTCACGCCGCCGGGTATCGGGTGAAGTCCATTCCATTACTGTCGCCGGGACGTGGATGGACGAGGACGAGGGGCTGTGGTGGTGGTTGCTGCTGGGCAAGGTGTGTGATCGATCTCGTGATGTGACGAAGTGCGGTGCACTCGTCGAGGTGGGTGAAATAGACTCTCCCTCAAAGCGGAAGCTGGAATATGAAGGTGCAATAGGGGACGAGGGTGCTGAGCTGCCCTTCTCTGTTGATGCGCGGCTCTCGCGCTGAGGTCTATATGTGGTTGATGCAGTCCGGCGTAAAGAAGGTCTTGTCTCGGTTGAGGATCTGTTCGATCCATCGCTTTGGAACAGACGGCATGACTCCCGGTGTAGCGCTAGTAGTGACTCGCGCTTGTCCTGGGTGGAAGTGCGAGGTGATGTGACAGGCACGATGGCGGCGTTGGGCACAGCCCGGCGCGGCGAATGGAAGGAACTGCGACGGCTGTTGGGTCGCGATCGCACTGTGCTGCGGGAAGCCGAGCGAGGGTGGCTCGAACTAGATGTCGATGTCTGCGATTCTCGACGATCTGCCGGTTTGGGCACATTTCTCGGTGGATCAATCCTCTTGACCTTGGCCATCTCAGATGGGTACGTAGGTGAGTCGCATCCCTTGAGCTCTGTGATAACAGGCTCGCACTTAGAAATAGCCAGAGATGGCTGAACCAGACATGTGACGGAGGCCATTTCCCGTCAGCGGGAAACTTCGATCATAGGCAAATATTGGCAGGTGCCCTAATCAGATGTACTTCAAAGAGGGTGATGTATATAAGATTAGGGTTAATGCATATTAAAACGAGAGGTCGACTCCATCTTGAAGGTAAATAGAAACGAAAAAAAATAGTAAAATGAAACTTGAACAGCAAATCTCTTTCTTTTTATTCCAATACGCTGGGTACACCGCTCCTCATCTATTTTAGCGGAGTGGGGGGGCGTCTAGAGTGTCTGGCCATGATCGTCCTATAAAGGCGCCTGCAGTTTGGAATGCAGGGGTTTTATTGTGAAAGTATGGGGTAATAATAGGCCAGGGTAATTTATAAGTAGTGTCTAATAATATAGGTAATACTATAGGCAATATCAAATTATTAACATCCACATGGCCATATAGCATAACATTATTGGAATAGTTAAATGATAGACACACTACGCTAACTACGCTAACCTATGCTAGGCATTGCATCCTGCATGTATAGTTTAGCGTTGGGAATCCTAGTCTCAACCAAATCTACAATATAACAAAGTATTTAGAAAGAGAATAAACTTGAATTCGACAATAGTCAAGTTTCTAATTTAGAGAGAATAAATGAACTCGGGGTTCTCCTGATCTGTCAAATCAAGCCACCTGAAAAAGTGAAAACGTTAGTACAAGTGACTAGTAAATGTCGACATAAATTACTCACTCTTGATTCTCTAGTCTCACATACTCTGGTCGAGCAGTGAAAAGGATCTTCTTCTCGTTCTCGCGACGATACCACATCCACACCCCGACCAGCAGGAATAAACACACACCCCAGCAGACAATAATTGTCACCTCAGCGGGGACATAGCGGGGGGCGTCCTCTGGACGGAAGGTTTGTGGGCCTGTCAGTTGTGTTAGCGCTCTATGTTCTCCCCCTTTTTCTCTTTATTTTCTTACCGATAATATTTCCCACACAATATCCAATTAGATACAAAGCTGCCACAGTAGTCTTCTTAGTATATCCCGCGACATTAGAAGAAATCAGCGACAGCAATGCGACAAAAGGGGTCGGACTGGCTTGTGTGAGGTAGTAGCCGATCAAACGACCCACGTTGTTTGATAGGGGCAGGGCGACAATGAGCAACATTCCCACAATTGCAGCGACTAGCCCACCCAAACTGGCGAGGATACGCTGCCCGGTGATATGTCCCACATAGCCGTTGAGCAGCAGTGCAACGATTTCCACTGCGCCACCGGGGACACCCAGAATTAGACTCTCTTTCGCGTTATATCCGAAGCTCGTAATCTGGACTGGTCAGCTTGCAATCTCCAAATCTTTATTAACTACATACCAGTTGGCTGAAGAAATTACTAATACCCCCATTTGGAATATCAGCAATCAAAGCATAAAAGAAGAAAGCCCAGGTCATCGGATCCAAAAGCGCCTCTTTGACCTGATACATCTTGAAGTTCTTATTTCCAATGCCTTGCTGATTGACCCGCACACGGGCAACAGCCAAGATGCGATCTTCTTCATTTAACCAGCGTGCATTGAGTTGGTTGTCTGGCACAATCCAGAGGAATACCAGTCCCAGGCAGATAGTAAGGAGGCCAGTGACGAGGAAAATAATCTTCCATGGCTCGATGGAGGACCCGTGTTTCTCGGCACCGACGGCGATACCGTAGGCGACTAGTCCACCGAAGATCTGGCCCACGCCGTTGAAGCTGAACCAGATGTTGACGCGGCTGCCTTGTTCTTGTTTTGTGTACCACTATTTGGGTCTGTGTTAGCTTAACTCCTTGTTTCTAGCTTATAGCCTATTAATATGGTTCGGAGCAAGAACAGGGGTAATGTTTGTACCTGAGAAGTTAAAAGTGCAAAGCCTGGTGTCACAGCGGCTTCGAACACACCGAGCATAAAACGGATAGCGATGGCACCGGAATAGCTGTTGACAGCGGCGAAACAGCTGAGAATCAATCCCCAGATCAAGATGCAGGCTGCAGAGTATTTTCCTAGTGGGAGACGCTGAAGGAGGCGGTTGGTCGGGTATTCCCAAGCGAGATAACCTATCCAAATGACCTATTAGGTTTGATGTCCCCAGAGAAGAACCAATCCAGGAGCAAAGCAGAGATGGAACATACCGAAGTAGAATAAACTCCCGAGCCACTGATACTGGTCTCCCTCAAGATTTAGATCCTCCTTCAGACCCATAACACTAGCATAGGAGAGAGTGGTTTCTAAACATCGGATCACATATTAAAACCCCTGATTGGATAAACAGCCGACAGAAGAAAGCAGAAAATCAAGATCTCTCTTGCTTTGCTCTGTTTGGAATCGAGGAAATATATGCACATACTATCCAGATAATTCATGCCATAGATAAAGCACATGATGGGCATCATATGCCAGTCAATAACCTTCAACAAGCGGCGATTCGTGGCCTCGTCCAGCTCGATAGTTTCGCCATGAAGACCGCCAAAGGCCTTCATGGCCTCATCGGCATCGTGTGCATGTTTCTCTATGGTGGGGTCGACATGTTTTATCATGCCCACGTCGATGCCGGTGTCCACGCCAGAGGAAATACCGATCTCCTTTTCTTCTGAAGTCATGGTGTCGGTTCTATAAGGTGGAGCGTAGCAAGGGGTAGAGTAATTGAGATCAAACCAGGTCACACAGAGCGGAATTGGTCTCTCCTCGAGTTATCTGTGCAACTATAAGCAATACGGAGACAAATATATAAAAAGAGATCAAAAGAGAAATTACTGGGCGGGCACAGCTAAATAACGTAATAATGCATGACGGTAAGAACTCCGCACGTCCGATAGCTATACAGGACGATCTTTGTACTTAGTACTAAGTAGGCTATTATATCCTGTACCCTGTACCTCCGAGCAAAGGCTACACATACCGTTATCTTGAGAGAATCTCCTCAATTCAAGCAATGTAGCTCGGCAAGTATATTGTGGATCCATGATAAGGCGGTTTATCTGGGGTTGTTTTCTGTCTCATTGGATGGCCAAGAGAGGGGAGTGAGGGGAAGATCGGCATTCCCTTGTCTGAGAATTGTGTTGATGTGTAGTATGATATGTATGAAATATATGAAATACGGGTAGAACGTAGGAGTAATTGTCGATGGGCGGAATGTAGATCGGATTACGTCAACGATATCTAAGAAGCATAGTTACTATAATGTACATTATTGTCGAGATGCTGACACTCGGAGGTGGCTTCCGACGAAGTTGAAGCAAAAGTACATTACGCTTATCTGTTGTCCACGGATATATCCCGAGTTTGGAGGACTCATCAAACCTACCCCAAATATTCGCAGAGATGCACTTTTGATCTTCTTGATCCATTGACAGGATGAAATATGCTGCTTGCAGAGCACTTGCATGTATGCTTGTGACTTAACCTTGCCCTTGCATCGTCGGTGCATGCAGGAAAGCCCTTACATAGCCCTGGAGAGACTCGTGATCAACCTGATGTGAGAAAACTGCAAGCGGAAAAATGGTTATATAGCATGCCATCAAATCTAGAATTTTCATTATGCATCACCACGCATGTAACTACAGTAGAACGGGGGCTGTACACTCTATTGCGCACCCACGCGGGCCAGATACGCCTCCCAGCCCTGCTGCTGGTACTGCTTAGCGGCCTCAACAGGATCCGCAGCGGCATAAATACCACGACCAGAGATAATGAAGTCCGCACCGCGGCCAATAGCCGACTGAGGGGTCTGATACTGCTGACCGAGCTTATCGCCCTTGGACGAGAGGTTGACACCAGTGGTGAAGACGACAAAGTCCTCGCCCTGTGCGGGAGCCTCGGTAGACTCAACCTCGCCCAAGGAGCGAGTTGAGACAAAGCCCAGCACGAAGCTGGGGTACTTGCGCGCGATGTCGACGGAAGCGGAGGTGTAGGAGCCCGTTGCGAGGGATCCCTTCGAGGTCATCTCGGCGAGGATGAGGAGGCCGCGCTCGGAGCCGTAGGGGAAATCAGTGGCCTGGGCGGTTTGCGCCAGGGCCTCGACGATGCCCTCGCCGGGTAGGACGGAGCAGTTGATTATGTGGGCCCATTCGGAGATGCGGAGGGTGCCGTTGTGGTATTGCTTCTGGACAGTGTTGCCGATGTCGATGAATTTGCGGTCTTCGAAGATGAGGAAGTTGTGCTTTTGGGCTAGGGCATTCAGGCCATCAATTGTTGCCTGGCTGAAGTCGGAGAGAATATCGATGTGTGTTTTAATCACGGCGATGTAGGGGCCGAGGCCTGTGGATGGGTTAGTGGGCTGTTTGGAGGGGTAAGTTGCGTTTACTTACGGTCGGCGAGGTCCAGGAGCTCCTTTGTTGTAGTCACGTCAGCGGAGACGGTGACATTGCTCTTCTTCTCTTCGGCGACTTGGAAAAGCTTGCGCGCGAGGGGATTGGGGTGCGATTGAGCGCGGGCGCTGTAGGTCAATTGCGACTTGGACGACATGGCGGGGTTGGAAGAGACGGTTATGTATTTGGTACGTGTTTTTTGAGATTTCAAGAAAGTGAATGGATTCAATCGAATGACAAATGTCTCTAGAATACAATCTTCGTCCAAAAACAGAATAACAGAAGTTCGAGTCAAAGAACGATCGGGGAACTTTTTCTGCCACAGTGGACCCCCACTGAGCGAGGCTGTAACTGTGGCGCACAATACATTGCATTATAGAAATACATACTTCTTCAATTTGATAATTTAGGGAATTCCACCTTTCAAGCTCTTTCAAAGCAGTTCCTTTCCAACACCGAAGACACTCAATCCCCAGAGAGCACCCTGCACAAGCCAGAAGAATGCGCCAATCATGCGGCCCTTACCCTGCGGCTTGTTCGAGTACACATAGCCGTAGAGGAACAGAACGCGGAAGAATACCCATAGAGCGCCCAAACCAGCAGCCCACTCCGGGTACTTCAGACCGGCGACCAGGGTGAAGAGCATTGTCTGCGAGGCATTCTCGAGGAAGTTGGTGTGAGCGCGCTGGGCGCAGTTGAACTGCTCAGCTTTGGGCTATAACCAGTTTAGTATGTGCGATTGGTATATAATACTTGGAAGTAATTTTCCTTTGAACAGGGCGCTCGGGAATAGTGATTGAGGAAATTGGACGCACGTTTTCCTTGCATAGCTCCATGGAGGCATAGCTGTGAGGGTAGGGCACCTTTGCCTCCTTGCGGAAGCTACCAGTGATAGAACCATGAACGAATCCCAAGACGGGAATGGCGCCGAGGGCGACGCCAATAACGGCACTGGGAAATAATGTTAGCCTTTTCAGGAAAACTTGAAGCTGGACCTACCCGTAGTTGCTAGGAATAATGAATGCGACCATGATGAGGGAATCCGGGGAAATGATGTGATGACTTTGTGATGGCTGATCGTGGTCCTTTATACCCCATTGGAAATTCGGGGGTCACAGGCTCCGAACTCCCGTCGGTGCAATCGATTTGGCCGTTCCGGGGCCTCCTTCCGGGGCCCTAGCTCTTTGTGGAGTGATATAGTTGGCCTTTTAGATCCTGGCGAATATTCTAAATTTTACGTTCTTTTTTCATTTGTAGAATTGACAGTGTTGAATCTCACGTTATGCAAGGGATGTTTTCTAATATTTCACGAAGTATTCGAGAGCTATGAATCCCGGCATATGTCAAGAGAAATCCGATACAAAAATGGAATGTTTATGCTGCCACGTTTGGCACCATCCTACTTACACTTCCGTACTTGGCCTGCCAAGCGAAGAAGTACAGAAGGGCTCCAAGTGGTTGTCCGACTAGACAAAAGCTGACCCAGAAGATGCAGTTTCCAATGACCCTGCCTTCAGGCCCGCGCATCTTCTCCAACGGTTCGGTGAGGCTAATTAATGGCAGCTGGAACATCATTCCAAAGAACGCGACACCTGGACTTGATTAGCCTTGGAACTGTGATCAGAGAGAGAGAGAGAGAGAGTGAAAGACATACCAATGAAATTATGTGTGGGAATGCCAACGAGCATTTCGTGAAGAATCGCGGAGAGCGTGAAAACCATTCCACTCGCAGCCAGAGGACTCCATCCACGACCCACCAACGGTGAGTAGACATGTCTCTTCATGAAAAGGTAGACAGGCCGGTTCCACGACCGCCAATAACCACCCAGACTGGAGCTGTTCCACCAGTCGGTGTAGAACTCGCGGTCTCCGAATTGCATGACTTCGGCCAAGGCGTTCAAGAGCGCTTGGAACAACGCAAAGAAGCCGGCAAGCCAAATAATCAACGAGATAGTGGACAGCTTCATAACACGCTCCAAAATGGAGGCAATATCCATTACTGCGATCTTATCGATCGAGTTCCGCAACACTGGTGCGGCATACTGCGCAGACAGAAGCCAAATGAACACTGCCAAGACCACGAACTCTGCAAGGCGCTTTGCAACAAATGACCACCGGATGGAGGCTGTACGCGGATAAACAGGCTGATACACTAGCGTGGGCGCCAGCCAGAAGTACGCCAGGTTATTGATGGTAATATTCCTCGGGTAGGGGCACGAGGAGTAGATTTCAGGCAGGCCCGGGTCTGCGGAGGGATTGAGTAGGGCAAGTCGGAGGTCTCGGTTTGTGAAGGCATATGAGCAGTTTTTCAACCACACGATGATCGCGTGCAACTCGCATATTGTGCCAATGCCTGGGTGGTGAATATAGAAATACACCACGAAGCTGGTTACTGTGAGGCATAGCGTGGCATTAAGCGTGTGCAGGAAAGCAGTGTATGGCCATGTCGACTGGAAGACCTTCTGGTCGTGCTCTTTTTCTTTTTCTGTCTTCTTTTGACGACCCACTGCGTGCTTGGCTGCAGTAGCGGCTGATAGCTCAATGATGTATGCCACGAGCAAATGGCATGGAACCGAGGCAAATAATATAGACCCAAGAACAATGTCTTGCCTGCGATAGTCATGGCATTTAATACAGATTAGCACGCCGTACTGTATAGTTATTAGTTAAAAGTTTGAAAGAGCGATTGAATACTTGGATTACCCACTTTCATGAAGTTCTCAATAATCAATCGCAGGTTCATCGCCACTGTCGGAACATTAGCCGTTTCCCATATACAAAGGTACAATTCTCCAGCAATCCCTACCAAGTACCAACACCATGAGATTTCGAAACCCCAGGAAGTTGGGGAGCACATCAGCCTCTCGACTGAGACTGGAATGACGAGCTTCTGAGTGATATGCAGCTACATGGCGATATTTACTGCGTTTCTTTCTTGTTGAAGTTGATGGCGGAGAGACCTCAGTTTCGTTCTTGATGTCACCGTTCGTTGAATTGAGTTCCTCTCGAGCGCTCGTTATTGCTCCAGTGCGAGCCATCTTAATAGCTCTGTAACCTCGGCAGTGTGAGAAATCGAAGGGTCTTGTAAGTCGAGCTCCGATGAAACCGAACCGGCGAGCAATGCAAAAATTAGAGTAACAACCAGGGCGCACAATTAGAACAGATAAGTAGAGAAGAAGAGAAAAAGAGAAAAAGAAGACAAAAAGACAAAAAGACAAGAAACAAGATTGATTTAATACTGAACATTGGCGGGGGCATAGCGCAAGCTTGCAGATAAAACCCGCAGGGCCAATCAGCGTCACAGGTGCTCAAGGGACGGATCCTGCGCTCCGAAGAGCTGCGACACTCTCCGCATCTTTGAATCTTTCTTAGCTTCTGATTCAATATCCAATATTTGAATCAATTACCTTTGATCCTCATGTTCGCGAACCGACAGCCTTGATCCTGTACATCCTTTCAACTGGTGGCGATGGCCTACTACGACGACAATGCAGGTGATGGCCCAGGGCGGTTTGGAAAGAATTTCGACGGTCCAGTCGGACCTCGCAGACCACGTATGTTTGCTTTGAAGTGACTTGCTTATCCATAGCCTGACTGATAACCGTTACTCTCAGGTCTCGTAACGGATTATGGCTCTTCAATGGTACAATGGATGCGAACACGACAACCAAGATACAAAGGAGGATATCGATTGGAGACAGAACGACCGAGTCCCAGCTTTGCGGTCGATGTATGTGTTGCTTGAACTGTCCTGGCCTGACAAAGAGACTGACTTGCCATAGGTTCTTCCTCCGATGGCGCGGCCATATTCTGCTGTCGATACAATCCCCGTGCGACACCTTCACCAGTCAATCGGAAAATCAAAGAAACCCATCGTCGTGGTGCGATGGACCCCCGAGGGAAGACGGCTGTTGACCGGCGGTCATACGGGAGAGTTCATGCTTTGGAATGGAACGGCATTCAATTTCGAGACGGTTATGGATGTGCGTATTTACAGCTTCTCGGATTGCCCTCTTGCTAATCTGAGATATTCCCACGGTGCAGGCACACTACGATCAAATACAGGCTGGTGTCACATCCCTGGCATGGGCCCATAGCCAGGATTGGCTGGTTTCTGGTGGACAAAGAGGTGATATCAAATACTGGCGACCCAACTTCAACAACGTCGAGACGATCGATGACGCGCACCACGACGCAGTCCGCGATCTGGCCTGGGCACCCAGTGATACCAAGTTCCTTTCAGCATCCGATGACACAACCCTCAAAATTTTCGACTTTGCAACCCGAACGGCCGACGCAACACTGACCGGACATAACTGGGATGTCAAATCTTGCGACTGGCACCCGACCAAGGGTCTGATTGTTTCTGGATCGAAGGATCACCAGGTCAAGTTCTGGGATCCGCGTACTGGTCGCTGCTTGACCACCCTCCACAGCCACAAGAACACAGTCACATCGACGCGATTCTCGCGTGTGAACAGCAACCTCCTTGCTACTTCATCACGAGACCAGACTGCGAGGGTATTTGATTTGCGGATGATGCGCGATATTTGCATTCTGCGAGGCCACGACAAGCCGGTTTCTTCTTTGACATGGCATCCGATTCACAGTAACCTTATCTCGACTGGCGCCGAGGATGGTTCTCTCTATCATTATCTACTTGATGAGCCTCACCTGCCGGCCGGCCAGATTCCTACCGTGGCGCCTTACGACAGCCCGGACCCGGCCAATACTCCGCCGCAGGTGATCTATCCGGCACATCGGGTACAGTACGCGCACGGTGCTACAATTTGGTCACTAGACTGGCACCCACTGGGCCATATATTGGCTTCTGGATCTAAGGATAACTTCACTCGATTCTGGTCGCGGACTCGGCCTGGCGAGACTAGCTACATGAAAGACAGATTCCACATCGGCGAAGAGGCCGCAGAAGCCCAGGGAACGTGGAACCGCGGATTTGGCCGGAAACAAATGCGCGAGGACGAGGAGCAAGAAATGCAGGACGAAGCCGACAGCCTGGTCGATCAACGACGACCAGGTGGCCCTGCTCTGCCGGGTATTCAAAGTGCGCCGCCGGCCGGCCCTCAGCCCGATGCTCCAGGTCTTTTACCTGGTATTGGTAGTGCTCAGCCTCGGCAGCCAGGAATGGATGGCGCTATGGGTGGGATGAATCCGGAGCGTTTGGCTGCACTTATGTCCACTCACCCTACATCGCAGTCGAGTACTCCCACACCTGGAATGCATGGGTTCCCTATGCAGCAGGGTATGGCCGGAACACCGCCCATGAATATGGATCTAGCACAATTGCAGAAGCAACTCCAGGGTTTCCCCATGCCACAGAATCTCAACCTCCAAGCTTTGGCGAACAACCCTGGCTTCCCTGGTGGATTTGGTGGTCTGCCTGGTTTGCAAGGCGGTGGTATGCCCGATGGCAATCGGAGACAGTGATGAAAAATGGACATCTGATTTGAAATGCACGTTGAACCGGCTTGGCATTGGCGCAAAGGACATAGCATGACTACTTTGATGCGGGGTGACGGCGTTATTTGAGACATCAAATCCCATTTGTATCATAAGAAATTTTCGGGTATTTCGAAGTCTCCTGAATCTTTGTCGATGAGGCTGTTTGCGTAGATTGGTTGGACATATTCCAATTCGTAGCTGCCGCCCACGTAGACAATTGTTATATCCTGTACGTAGTATGACCGAAGGAAGTAGCAGCCGGGGTACCATTCAAAGGCCACCTTGCATGGGGAAGCTGGTGACAATAAGAACCATAACGTTGACACCACCCCATATCATTGGTAACCAAGTCGACATTCTGAAATTGCCTGCCTCGTACACCGCGCCTAGGCTATCACAGAAGCGTCAGCTACCTAATAATTCCGGGGAGTCCAAGTGTTATGCAGCCAACTTACACAACCCCAACTATACTCCCGGCTAAAAGCCCCTCCAGCCCTGCAATGATACTGTACACCAACGGCACAATCCATATCACGTTCCAGTTACGGAAATGAGTCAATACCGCGCACCCAGAAACAGTGAGATGTGTAGCAGCGTAGAATAACAGCGTCCAGAAAAGCGTGAAGCGCCATATGTCCTTCGTGTAGTATAGGTAGTATGCTTGGTGATGATGCGCCGGCAGGGGATCGTACAAAGACGGAAAGGAAGGTACTTCGTAGTTGATCGGGACGCGGTTGTTCGCCATGGAGAGGTAGCTGCGCCGGTTCAGCTGCAGCGAAGATCAATCATCGAAGCATGACACGTGAATAGAGAATAGTCACTTTGACCATATATGTACTTGCACGCGTAACAAAAAAGGCAAGTCTGGAGACTGTCGGAGATGACGATGCTTGTTTGCATTGTTTGGCCACATCTCATTGGTTGATTTTGGGTGGATGCCCGTATTTGGCTCTGGACCCCCGGACCTCGGCTTCTCCGCGGTTGATCATCTTACTCCTTGTGCGATGTAGAGTCTCTTGTCTGGGAGCATCCCTATCACCTCCAATCTCGATATGGCCACGGAACGATCTCTGGCCACGCTGCTGCGGTCGCTGCAGGCGACTTCTAGCTTCCAAGATGCCGCTGCGTAAGTGCCACACGACCCAATCCGATTGCGGAGGTCAATGTTAGACTAACAACAGGCCAATTCAGTCTTCTTCCCACTGCTACTAGTTTCCTGTCAATGCTGGGGAATCCCCTGAATCTGACACTCCTTTCGTCACAACTCCTTACTGCGCCTTCACTCTGGAGCCACCCTGTCGACCTTCAATCCTGTCGCAAGATCCTCAGCGTCTTCAACACCGCCGCCATTGCTGTCTTGCAGAATGATACTACCGACGAACCACGGATACCATACGGGCGGAATAGGAAGATCGAGTATGAGGCGTGGGTTAAGGCGGTCGCCGAGGGCGCTGACGATAAGTCCCCGCGGTGGAGGCACACGCTTCTGCTGGGCGGTATCTTGATGGGATTCGAGGGACAAAACCGACGGGGCTTACCACGGCATATTCGGGTGAAGCTCGAGTCAGCGCTTGCGAGGGCGGCGCAATTAGCACTCGAGGAGGTTGGCACCGAGCCTGGGATTGATGGACAGTGCATCACTATGGTCTTGAACTACACTTTCGAGCTCCTGTCAGATCTCGAGCGGAGCAAGCTCGATTATGATCGATTGCTTCCGGCGATGATTCAGTCGGCATACTTGTCTTCGGAGGGCCTCGAGGGTGGTTACTTTTTGGGATCTATTGATCAGGATGTCGTTGAGGCTCCTGGGAAGCAGTTTCGCTGGTCGGCCAACTCCCCCACGTTTGGTATTGTCTCAGCGGTAGCTGCTCGCCCGCTTGTGTCCACACTGGGGCCTTTGTCTCGTCTTATCGCACATTCTGTTGATAATGTTCGAGATCCGAGAATTGTGGCGCAGACTGTTGATTACCTAGCGGGCTTCGTTCGGACGCTCATGGTTCAATGGCGGCAGAACAAATTGTCTGAGATTGATGTTGCGGAAGAAGCAGAATTTCTAGATGCTGAATCCCGGGAAACCACCCTTCCTGCCCTCTGGAAGATGTTGCGGAATTGCTTATATTCGGTGGTTATCACCCTTCGGGCAGTGTTGGGGAGAACTATCAATGACCCGGCTCTTGCTGCCAGCAGTAGTGAGTTACAGACCAGTCATGAAACTTGCCTTGTACTAACCATGCTACTTCCAGGTGCCCCATACCTATCGATGCAATGCCTCCACATACTTCGCAACCTGTATTTCATCTCTTCTCGGCTTGGCCAGAATGCATCATCGCAGCAGACATTCGTGCTGTTGGCAGCCATAGACATCCTTTCACAATACCCTGTTCTTGCCGAGAACTTCCTGCGAAGCATTAAGCCAAGCGATATTGGTCAAATTCCTGCTCACCCAGTTGAACGATGTTTGGATCTTTTCTTCTTGAATGTGGCAGAGCATTTCCCTCTTGTCTTATCCTCAGAAACGAACGAGGAACTATTATTGTCCGCCGCTTTCCCATATCTTGCAACCGGTGCTAACCGCCTTCTGTTGGAGATTTTCGAAGCTGCCCACAGCCTGGTGCTTGTTGTCTTCGCTATTCCCCACAACTCGGAATTAGCTGCCAAACACCTGCCTTTCTATATTGAAAATCTTTTTGCCGTGAGTTCCATCCCCGCTATTATACGCAAGTATATTCTAATAGTCTACAGGTATTCCCCAATAACCTTTCCGCGCGCCAATTCCGTCTCGCTTTCAAGACAGTCATCCAAATTACAGCACCTCCTTCTCCTCTAGCAAATAGCCAGCCCCTTCTCCCCTCCATCTTACTGGAAGTTGTTCATGACCGTGCTTTGAACGCTTCCTCAACACCGCTCCCTCCGCAGGGTCCAAATCCAGACATGAGCCAAAGTCCACCTATCTCCGAACAGGCTGTCCTGACCCTGGCTCTGATCGATTCCCTTTCATTCCTCCTAGTCAATGATCTGAAAGAATGGCTTCCCTTGGCAGCCCAATTGATCAACGCAATCTCCGACCGCAATATGCGACATGCTTGTATCGAGCGTTTCTGGGAAGCTCTAGCCGGTGGCGAGATGGATGTTGATCGATCCCACTGCTGTGTTACATGGTGGAGCACCGAAGGTGGGCGTGAGCTTGTCCTTTTCGGCGCCGAGACCGCCCCGGGCGAGTCAGACGAGAGTGGACCTTACATGAGTGGCGCGGTGGGAGGAGTCGCGCCTGAAAGTAAGCTATAATGATGCCAATGTAAATAGCTTAGAGGATTAAAGCTACTACGCCTACGGGCATGCTCATGCCTTAATACCATATACCAGACTTCAAACCGATCAAGCATAGCTCCCTAAATCTCACATAAAGTGGTTGCTTTTGTATTTACTCAATTTGATAGTTCTTCTGCCGCAATGGTTTGCAACTAAATGCCCGGGATACCCACCGGGGTAGCTTTCCTGTACTGAATATACTCTTCGCCAAAGAAAGAGATCAAGTAAGCTTCTTCGCCTGTAGCCGCATAAACTAATTAGCAAAATATCCAATACACAAAAATCAACAGGCGACTTACGCTTGATCCGGCTCGAGAAGAACCGCCACAATACTAGGGCATATCCAACAAAGCAAACCATATTCCCCAAGATCAGCTGTGTTCCCAAACCCCACCAGAAGAATCCGAAGTAGCTCGGATGCCGCAGATACCCATAGAGACCAGTATTAACCAAAACATGACCCTCCTGGTGCTGACTCTGCACATGGTGATTGAAGTTACTAGCAGCCTGCGCCATAGCAATTGTCCGAACAAGCTGTCCGACCAACAGAAGCACAAAGCCTACAACAAGCAACAGCGAGACCGAGCTTCCGAAAAACGGTTCCGTCACAGTGAGCATCCGTGCAGCAGCAGTCTGCCCAGGCCAGAAAACATTTGACACAAGGCATTCCACAATGGCTGACCCATGTGCAATATTATACGCCCATCCGTTCGACGACAGCAGGAAGGCGGAGACAGTCGCATACCGCGTGTTGTACTGCGCCGTCACGTAGAACTCCAGGAAGTGGAACAGGCTCAGCGAGGCGACGAAGAAGGGTACGCGCCAGAGCGGAGTTGGGTACACGGTACTTAGGAACAACGACATGCTTGCTGATAGACCGAGGCTGGTTCCAAGGAGCATTGCGCGCAGCGAGATCCCCGCCAATGACATCTTGCCGTCTGGGTAGATTGAGGTATAGGGGTCGGGCGCGTCGGTTGAGATGGCGGAGGAGGAGGATGATACATTGCTGCCGGTGCGGTTGTGGATTGAGATTCTGGATGTATGTGTGAACTTCGGGGCTTTGTTTAGCTCTGCGCGGGAGGTTGTTGCGTTGGAGAGCATTGTCAAAGGAATGGGGGGTGGTTTGTGGACGAAAGAGACTTGGAGTGTTTATTTGCTTCGAGGTTCGAGCATTTCGAGGGAATTGGTGAAATTTAAATAGTGGGTGTTGTTGGTTTTCATTGTCTGAGAACAATCTGAAGAAGTTGTATTGTTTTGCATCGGTGGACCTTTTCCCCGAAATGACATCCGGGCCCACATGGCCTTGGCTTTAGGGTCCTCGGATCTCTATATGTTTTGGAATACTAGTTTACGCACTTATTTATTTCTCCTCTTTTCGGTTTTTTGTATATGATAGCCATGACCGTCACAACCATGCCGCAGCCTACTGAGAAAGAGAAGATGCTTCGCGGGGAGCTCTACCGAGCATTCACGCCAGACTTGATCGCTGCTCGTACGCGCTGCAAGCAGGCTTGTAATCGGTTCAATAAGTCGGACGAGGTATCTCGTCGGCATCTCGTTGGAATGTGGAGAGAGTGAGTGATGCAATCATCAATCCGGAAATATGCTATATATACTAAAACTTCATACAGTATCACCGAAGACAAGACCCCTCTGCCACCGAAACTGGATGACCCCGCAGCTGACGATGCTCTTTTCGAGCAGGAGCCCTGGGTTGAAGCTCCCGTCAAGATAGACTACGGGTTCAACGTCAAGCTTGGAGCGGGTGTCTTCGTCAACTTTAACTGCGTCTTCGTCGACACGTGTCCTATCACAGTTGGGGCACGTACTTTGTTCGGTCCTAATGTCAACTTGTTCTCCGGGACTCATCCGCTTGATCCTGCTCTGCGCAATGGTCTTGAAGGCCCTGAGACTGGCAAGCCGATTGTTATCGGGGAGGACTGCTGGCTCGGCGGGAATGTGATTGTACTTCCTGGCGTCACTATTGGCAGAGGTGTGACTATTGGAGCTGGAAGTGTGGTCACTAAGGTATTTTATATGCACATTTCCATGACCTGATTGTACAATTTGCTGACTTTAGCTTTAGGATGTGCCCGCCTTTCATGTGGCTGCTGGTAACCCAGCTAAGATCATTCGCCGGATTGAAACGACAATGAAAGAGTGATTGACCCCATATCATTCATAGAGTGATAGATATTATAATTATATAGAGCTTCCTAGTGAATTGCATCTATGAGATATTGAAGTGATCAATGAAGCTGCATTTATGTTACATGGATGTCATGCACGCCTGGTCCAGACAACGATATAGACAATGATAAATATTAAAACGTATTGACAAATTGAACAGAGTTAATTAGACATTAGACAAATGAACGCCAAGGGTCCAGACTCGATGCATAAGACCGCATAAGGGGCTGTGCATTTTAGGCGCTTTATATATAGCTTTATACACGGCGTAGCTGGAGTAATGTAGATAGGCAGTCATATTTGCTACAAACTTCATAGTAATTATACGCATTCTTATTTTTTTTTTCTTTCTATGTAAATAATAAGTAAAACATAATGCAAATATGCAGTAAAATGCCTATAAGCTTGGTTGTGCCTTTGTTAAGGAATGTAATGATCTGTTGGCTCTCTCTCTCTCCACAGAACAACGTCACTGGTCTGGCGCGTCCCCAAAAAAAGCTGTCGACCGCTTTATCTTTTCTGAAGACCTTTACTTCTCTTCCACTCAATCCTTCTATTGAACTCACAACCCTCTTTTTCTTCAACCTTCATTTTTGTATAACCTTCATTTCACGCGTCGTTTCAACTTCCCTGGATCTCCTACGCGCGGAAAATGACATGGCTGTACCCCCGCCAGATAGCTCTTACACCCCACCTCACACTCCCTTGATCGAAGAATCTCCATTCATCAGCTCCATGGAGGATCTTGATCCTCAGGCGACCCGGAAACGTCCGCGTCTCGACAGTGGAAGTCGCGTGAGCCCGACCTTGTCGTTGGGTGGAACCTCGCGTACTGCCTCCATCGCACCTGCCTCAGACATGGATGAGGCCTCGGATTCTGGAAATCCAGCTAACAAAGTCACTATTAACACAAAATCACCTCCATCTACCATGGCTCCCGACCTTCCTCCCTCCGACCCTGAGCTCTCAGGTAGCGATCTAGAGCTTCTACCAGATACCGATCCAACTCCCATTCCTATTTCACTTTCCTCCTCACCCTCCTCACCCCGAAGCCCTGAAATCGAAGTTGCTGAACCCGAAGACATAAATCAAGACCCGAAAATTCCCAACTGGAAGCCACTGGGCCAAGTGGTGCGGGATCAGCATGAACCCGAAGTGATAGAGATCCGAGACGTGCCTCCTCTTTCCGAATCATTCCCCAAAGTACACACAGAGATGACAGCGCGAGAGAATTTCAAGGCGCTTGGTGATATGCTTGAACATGGTAAGAAGGGACTCTAGTCAACGACTGCCCTTGGCCAGATACTAATCCAGCGAGCAGGACACCCACGGGAAGGCACGGCACTTACTACAATAAGACGATGGCTTCATACTTGCGCATGCGATCTTGACCGGCTCACAGTCGAGGAATTTGCGTCAGATCTAGATTTCTGGGAATATCTGCCCACCGTCCTGGATCGTCTTTTGCGCAGACAACAAGACCTCCAATTGGATGGTATTGAAGATCTCTCGAGCTTCTTCGAGCAATATCTTCTCGATTATGCTCGCATTGTCCTTCACCTTGTCCGCTTGGACACCGCAATTTTCAGTGGTGTCGAAGAAAATGACAAAGACATCGAAATACCTCCCAGCACCTCTCGACGATACCTTCATAGCTTCCCTTGGATGTTCCATGGCGGGCAAATTCCCTTTTTCCGGGTTCTAGAAAATCAATCTCGCACTGGAGCTCTCAATCTTTCTGCTCGACTTAAAGCCCAGGTCTTAGCACCTCCGTTTGATGCACCCAGCGCACTCGTTCGATACACTTCGCACCTGCTTTCATTGATTCCAAAGTGTCCGCAAATCGTCACGATGCTTTCGTGCCCTCTGGTTAACATGCTCGCGTTTCTTGAATACGACACGGAGAGGAACCAAAATGGTGGTCCTGATTCTCCCGTTGACCCGCCTATCGATTCGACCAGCCTTCAGCCCTTTTACGAAACGGTTCGAGGAATTGACAAAATATACCAGTCATTTGTTGCAAAGAAATCGCAGCTGGCCACCAGTGAATTGAGCGATAACCTTCTGAGCCCAATCTTCCGCAGCTACCGTTTCCTTTGCTTCAATTACTCGGAATTCCTGCTCCAACTTGCCCAGGAATTGTCGATTCAGGTACCCGAGGAGGCAGATGCAGAGCAAGCCGCTTTGTGTGTTATTTGGACATGGAAATTCGATTTCTTGAAAAAGCAAATCATGGAAGGTCGAATGGAGCTTCGGGTCCACGGCGTGGAAATGATGCAATCAGACCTGGTCAGCATCTGGGGTCAAAATGTATCCCAGAACCGCGAGGGAATCGAGATGCCGTTCCTGAAATACCTGGTTGAATATCTTCGGGAGAACAAGATCCTCGAGTATCTTGTGGGCATCGACTCACACCCACAGTTGATCAGCCGCAGCAGTAACATCTTTGGATTTCTGATTGTGACGGGGAAATATACCGACCATGACACGGATGTTATCTGGAAAACCGTCACCGAGAGCCAAGATGATCGCACTGTCTGTGAGGTCATGTCCATGCTCGCACGAACCTTTGCCATGCATCCGTCCAGATCCAAAGCGTTGCTCTATGTGTGCTCGAAATTGCTTGAGTTTCCTTTGGATCGCTTCGACAGTCGCATAATCGATTTCTGTGAGCAGCTGGTGCCTCGTATGCGCGATCGAGACCATCGCAACATGTCCGATGAGGAGCATATCGATTCTATTCCACTGAAGCTCTGCATCCGCCTAATCCGTGAGAGCTCGGGGGCGAATGACCTGCCTCTGGAACAAAAGGAACTTATGCAGGGATTTGGAACCGAGCAGCTGGGACAGTTCATCAAGGCTGGACTCAATGAAACAGACATGGCAGAGACATATGAGCGCTGCATTCAAGACATCGGAGAGATGAATGAATGCACTGCGGGTAGCATCCAAGTGTTGAACGCACTAGTACCCCGTGATGACGCACGAGAGCTTTGGAAACTTGCGACCGATTTCGACTTGACGCGCTTGGTGATAATCGAACTTCATCATCTCGTTAGTCAAGACCACGCTAAGCTCAAGGACCCATCTTCCAAGCACGGCTTTTCCTCGCGGGTGGAAATCCTGCGACGTCTTATTGATCTGGCACCAGAAACTATCACGCCTGATCTCGGGAACACACTCTGGAAGGAGATTTTCATGTCCAAGAACCTGGCTGCCGAAGAGCGTCAAACGATTTGGAAAATGATGGTTGATCTTACCAACCGTACCACCAAAGAGAACTCATTCCTTGAACTCTGCATTCATGAGTATTTACCTGGTGTGCTTCCGAAGGATTACTCGTGCGAGGTGTTGTGGTTCGCTCAACAGTCGGTCCACTACGAAATTCGAATCAAGTCACCTCCCATTGTCGGGGAAAATGAAGTCATAGCTATTCCTGGAATGGATCGAATCTGGAACTTCATACTGAGGGCACCTCCACAATCGATCGAAGCCGAGGCTATTAAGTTCGCCATCGATAGCTATTTGGACCACGGTATTGTCCGCAGATCCCCCCGGTCGGCCATCGACGCTACCCACATTGCTCTTGTCAATCGCTGCGTGGACCAACTGAAGTCTGCCGCTGTCGCGTTGAAGCCATCTTGCAATGGAACAACCAATAGCGATGTTTCTATGGACATAGACAATTCCAATCGCGATATTGGAACCGATGAACTCATGTTCAGCCGGTCTCTACATTTCCTTCGTCAATTACTTCATGGATTGCGAACTCGGCCGCAGTACAGCTCCCCTCGTGGCTCTCCGCCTACGCTCCCGCAACGTCCCCTGAAAGGCGAGCCGATTGAATTTCGTTATCAATGTTTTAATGGCGCTTCCATGTCTAAAATCTGCACACAGCGCATTGGTGGTCTCTCCACGGCTGCTGAGCTTGTGGAAACGCTCGTCCAGCTGAGTCGATTCTCTAAGTTTACTGCTATCCTCGGTGGGCAGAAGGTTGAGCTGCTGCAAGATCCAGAGGCACTTGTGAAAAACTTGAAGCTTTCTTCGGGTTTACTCCTTCTTCGAAAGGCCCCTGATGCTCATGAAATCACTTGGGCTGGGAGACGGCAGTCTCTAACAGCAGTGGACAATGAAGTGCTGAAGCACTTTGACGAGCTGTATGATCTGCTTGATCTCAAGGACGAATTGGCTCGACAGGTATGATCCCATTGGCTCTTCTATTTTAGCTGAATGCTGACACTGACACTTTGCAGATCATTGACTTCCTGGTTGTCTTCCCACCTCAAGTGCGGGCTCTTGAACTTGTTCGATCCAACAGCAATACCGAGAAAGACATGTTCCCGTTGCAAAGACCGTTCAAGGCCTTGTACTCCTTGAATACACTATCAATGTGTCTCCACGAGGAGGCTGCAGAGGTGAATTCGGCTATTTTGTTGGGAATGATATTCGTGCTAAATATCGTTACAGATGTCCCCAGACCAAGCTTTTGTGTCTCATAGCAACCAGGTTTTGGTTGCGTTCCTGACGTCGGATGAACTGTTCAGCTCTCTCTCCGCTAACTCGATAACCACCGTGCTCGCTACTAGAGCCATTGAATGTCTTCTGCTGGCTATATCTGGTATGTTGAATATTACCCATTGTTCAGTAAATGGGCCTCAACTAATTGTGACCTAGTCTACCGCCCGACTGATGATGAGTCCGTTCTTATTGCCGATCCAATGTCTTTGGTCCGACGCGTTCTTGACCTGCTTGAAATTGGCCGCACCAGTCCTGCAGATCCACCGGCGGGTACATGCGCCCAAAGTTTGATTTGTAATTCTTTTGCGGTCCTAGTCGAGGGCTCATTGCGTGATCTTAATGTCTGGAACGCTGTTAAGCAGCATGCGCAGTTTGATGGCCTGATCCAATCTCTACTCTTGGAAGAAAATCGCAAGCCAATCCGGACTGATATCTTGGAACGTTTGAAGATCATCT